AGCGTGGCTATCGGTATGTAAATCGGCGCTTTCTGATTGGCTCAGACAGGTGTCTACACGTTCTCTTCGCCCACATGAACTCATCATTTAGCATGTGATCTGGGAGCACGTGACTGCTTCCAGCAGATGACGGGATTTTATCTTTCTTTTCTACTAACGGGTTTACAAGATCCGAGTTTCTCTGAGAAGCTCGCGTTTAATCAGTGTTTGCAAATGTAGTCCAGTATCGATGCGCTATGTGAGCCATTATTTGCAAACAGTTCACTCAATATGGGCATTTAATAGAAAACTGCAGCTTATTACTCATTTAAATGCTCTGATCACAGGTTATAGCACAATGTATAGCATAGTAACAGGCACTGAAAGACCAAGCCACTCTTTTATTCAGCTTCCCACCAAAATTATTTTGTATTTAAATCTGTTGACTTGTACTTATGTTTGCTTATTTGGAAAGAATACACTTGTAAGCATCAGATTAAAATGGATAATCCAGGGCTGTTTCTGAACGTTTGGGGGCCCTAATGGCTGGAGGCTCCAACAAACATCTTTGTATTTTCTTTTGTTTGCAAGTACTAAACAATAATTAATACCTAAACAATGTGAGGAAGTCTCTGGACTTTACTGGGATTTTTGACAAATAATATTAAATTTATTTTTGGAAAAAAAAAAAACCCTTATCCACCCTATTCTAAACAAAACATGGCTAAAAACACCTGATTTTTGTAAAGTACCTGCTTTTTGCTTTACATGGTCAACAAATATCCCCAGACTTCATAGAAGAATGTTAAAGCTAATGTAAGCTAATGTAAAAAAGATTTCCAAGGAATTTTGGTGAATTTCTATTGGTCAGTCCATCAAGAAGTGTTCACATAATGTAAAGGGAAGCTGTGTTCAAAGGATTTAAAAAATAATAATAAAATTTAAGATACTTTTATTTCTTTCTCGAAAGGGATGATATGCATCATTTATCATATTTCAATCCTGCATGTGTACGCAAGCAAAGCCAGCAGTCCACCTATTAGCACATCTTTCACTTTCAGACATAAACATGATTGACTTTGTCTTGACCAAAAATGCTAAACCCTAGCACATTGCTTCTTGGTCAAACTCCTGACTTAACATTGCGTTCCAGACTGACCCATGATGTCAATATGGGATCAGCTAAACCAATTGACATACAAACACCACAGAAAAACAAAGACCCTTTAACAGCTGGTGAGGGATTTTCAAAAGGGCTGTTCAATAGCGTCAGTGAATTAGAACTATTAGAGCAAAACGACTGATGCTGAAATGTAAGATGTGAATTTGGTGGCAAGTTATGATTAATATGCATCAGGCAAATGATCTTCAATCAATCAGGTGGTCCAGATAGAAAAACAGATGAGCATGTGATCTGATCACACATACGTCAGAGAGCTAATAAAGACACCCAAAATTGCTTAATGGTGATAAGCTTATCACTGTTGCTTGTGGACAGTGGACCCGATGTAATCCCATTATATGTGACTGTTAGAGCATTCAACTCAATCTGTTCTTAAGGTGGCTTCATAATTTGGTGGAAATGGCTTGAGGCTTCAACAAACATCTTTGTCTTCTTCTGAATAGATGATTAAAGGATTAAGTGATTAGCATTAGGTTTGTAAGCAAACCTGAAATAAATCAAAATGTATCCTGTAACAAATGATAAATCAGCACAAACATGTGAAATGGTATCTAGTTTCAAATAACAATGTAACTGATATGTGTATGCTTTGTATAGTTTTATCTAGTGTTAAAAACGACTGTAGCCCTTTGAAACAGGCGAAAGCTAACTGCTGCTGTCTGGCGTTAGCTGGTGCTAGCTGTTGTTGACCTCAGAATTTGCAAGTGTAGCCAGTAACAACTGACAAATCAGCACAAATATATCAAAATTCATCTTGTTTCAATTGAAACTTTAACTGGTCAGTGTACCACAAAATTGAAATGAATTATGTAGTGTTTAAAAAGACAAATCCATATCCTTTTGAAACAGGCAAAACTAGCTAACTTAGCCTATTGCTGAGAACTTTAGAATATATCAGAATGTAGCCTGTAAAAATGGACAAATCAGCACGAATATATCAAATTCATCTGGTTTCAAATGATATTGTAACTGATCGGTGTAAAAAATTCCAATGAACTATTTAGTGTTAAAAAAAGACAAATCTACATCCTTTTGAAACAGGCAAAACTAGCTAACTAGTGTTAGCCTAGCAGCTGACAACTTCAGGATACATCAGAATGTAGCCTGTAAAAATGGACAAATCAGCTCAAACATATCAAAATTGATCTAATTTTCAATGAAAATGTGGCTGATATAAATTAGCTGCTTTGTAATTCAAAAGCCTTTATGAAATTTAATGAAGTTTAAAAAAGCGGATCTATTTAAAAAGCTTAACAGAGTAGCTGTTGACTTGTTCCATTTGACGTAATTGATATGTGCACCAAAGTTGTTTTTAAAACTGTTTTACATTATTTTACACAGAACATAATGCTCTGTCTCAGTGTTAAGCAAAAGCTAACTGTGCTAGCTGCTGACAACTTGAAATTCAAGTTGTCTGTGTTTACCACAACACAAACCGAGAAGATATACGAGACCACTGAGGCACGTACTGTATATAGACCTATATGCAGAAGACATGCATTATTTGTGGAAATGGATACAGTTACCACAATATAGAGTCTAAGGGCTCCATCTTAAGGAAGATGAAGTAATATGTAGGTTAATTCCCCCAATTTTTAATATTTCCTAAAATACTAAAAACCTAATGTTCAAACAGTAAATGTGAATAGTATGCCATTCTTGCAACAATAAACATTTATGTGAGGAAAAAAAAAAAAATTCTGTGATATAAGAACAAGCTAGCTCCTTTTTTTCTTTTGAAAATGCTAGGTGTCATTTGCATTATGTTAAAATCTCATACCATATTTTAACACAATGCAGTTTATACCAAATAGAAATTTCATGATGACCAATAGAGATGGCCCAAAATTAACTGGAAAGAAATCCTAGCCTTAAGTTAAAACACCACAAGCCACAAGCTTGCATACTAGTCACAATATAACAATAACAATAGAAACTATACAATATGATATGCTGTGATCTATTTTTGACACTATACAATGTTGTATTGTTACATCCCTACATTCTGGAGATAATAGGGTTTGTCCCAAAAAGGACGACATGCTTTTTCTCATTGTGCTAATCTACATTAGCAGAAGCAACAACCCTCTAGTTCTTGATCTTGAATTTAAACTCCTTACATTTTTGCTTTAGTTTTATCTAGATGTTATATTATTCTGAACTGAATGACCTGTAGCTTACGTACTTGGCCAAGCTGCACAATTTCAAATGTTACAATAAATGAGAGGTTCTTTAACTCACTTTCTCAGCGTGATGTTACATAACCACCAGTTATTACACTGTTACATTTGCGCACTACAAGCTACTGTTATAAAATTTCAGCAGAACGAGTCAGAAGAGCACTGAAATTCACTTCAGACAAACATGCTTACACCTACAGAAGAGACAATTTATAGGAAGAAAAGTAGAGGCGAGAAGTATTTGTTGCTCTCTAAGCAGGACAGGCACAGACATGCCATGCCAATCCCTCAAAACTGACAAAGCACATGACAGTTTATTCATTTACCCATGCGCAAATGGGTTCCTTGGAATGATGTAATAGGAGAACCACTTTGGGTTCCCTAAAATGAGTTGTGTGAGTATGAAGAACTCTTTGAAGTGTCAAGAACTTCCACATGATGTTAGTTTTATAACAGAGGTGCCCAAACGTCTTGTCTTGCAGGGCCAAAGTGCAATGTCTGTGGTGGGCAGAGGGCAAAACAATATACAAATAAAAAAAGGTAGTCAGGTTTAAAATAGAATAGTATTTTCTAACATTACACTGCATTTTGCAAAAATACCATTCAAAAGTAAAATAAGAGTAAAATACAATATATATGTATATATATCGCTGCTGTCGGAAGAAAATCTCCATCTTTGTCGTTTTTCAGTTTTTGACATAATTTGAAAATGCCTGTTGACCTTTACATTGTGTGTAGATTTCATGATGAATGGACCAAAAGAAACGATGCAAAATTACTTGGAAAATAGTCTGGTTCCACTGACTTACATTAAAAGTAAAGCACGTTTTTTCCTTCTCCTGTAAAGTAGATATAGTACAGCGATATAGTATAAAAATATGTTTATTCTCCCATTTGGTGAATGAACACATAAGCAGTGGGTGAGGGGAAGGGGTAAGGTAACTTTCTGGCAGGCCAAAGCAAACGATCTCACGGGCCAACTTTGGGCAGCTCTGTTCTATACTGATAAAAGTTTTTTTTCCTTAGAGCCTTACATTCAAGCCAAGAACCAATGATGAACCTTTATTTTTCAAGTGTGCATTTCCCCACTTATCTAAACTAGTCTAGTCTCAGGCCTCTATAATAGGAGCGGTAAGGCAGAAGTAATAATGGCTGGAATTCCAAGCACAGCACTTTTCTAACAACTTGAAATGTGTCACAAAAACATCTGTTATCACGACAGGCTAATCAGCAAGGGAGACAAGTTTTACTGATCCAACTCCAATGATTGTTCTTAGAAAAAAAGGGATAAAAAAACACTTCTTTTGAAACCTTGACACAAAAGGAACACGGCACAGTGTTGTCAGGTAAACAATTTATTATAAAAATGTACTACACCGTTTTTAAAGGAAGTATTAAGACATGGCATTCAGAGACATGCTTTAAGAATATAATATAAATAGAAGAAAAAAAGTCTTGTGCAAAGAGATGACTGTACAAAGTCTTAAATACACCTGGCTCGTTCTCCACTAATGAAGCCCACAGGAGTTTCTATAGGGGGCAACACAAGCCTCAATGAGTGAAAACAGAGAAAGAGACTGCGCAGTAATACATAGACTCCATCACAATATAAAAAAATGTGCCTTCTGGAATGAGAACATTAGGATGCACCTTTTCCCTTTCTTGTTTTAAGCTGGTGTGAAGGAGAAACGATGGAGAGGTGGGGGAAACAGGAGGTCTGCTGGAAGTTATTAGTTACTTTTTTAAAAACCTGTAACTGAGATCCCTTGTGTCCTTGAGAGAGAAAAAGAGAGAGAGATAAAGCAAAAAGAAAGAAGGAAAGTAAAAGAAACATAGAATGAATGAGATAAAGCAAGACAGAGTGACAAAACGAGTAAAAGAAAGGAAATACAGAGTAAAAGACATTGCTAGAGAGAAAATTTGAGAGTAAGAGAAAGAGAAAATAGAGGAGAAAGAGATAAAAAAGAGTGAGAGGAAGAAAAAGAGACAGATGAATCATAGATGAGGGAACTTGTTTTTTTTTATGAGCCACGGTCATAGTGGTCAACAGATGTAAAGCACTGTTATGACTGAATGTATCAGCTTATTGTGATTTTGACCTCAGTGCAAAAACTGACACAATTCATAAATCTTCCCTTAAATAGGGTCATTCTTTTGGTGTAAAAGTTCCACAAAAGAGCTTAGATGGCTCACAGTCAAGTAAGTACGACAAACATGTTCTAAAACCGAACCTGTCTCAGCTCCTCATGGACGGTGTTAACAAGTGAGAAACAGAAAAATATATTTTAAAGCTGACGACTGTAACAATATTCAGATCATGCTTCAAAACACACAGCAGCCAAAGTCATTGTTTAAACTGAAACCACATTAGTAATGGAAATTGCTTTAAAACATTGAATTTTTGTTTCCTGTTAAATAAGGAATGCATGTGTAGTTTACAATAGCTCAATATATCATTAACATTGTCTGGATCAGACTTTTGCAATAAAATGAATATAAAAGTGAACAATGTCAAAGCAAATCCTGAACTAAAGCAAAGACAAAAAAGTACTTTGTGGCTTAGCATGTTCTTAAAACTGCGAACAAACTTTTGGCCCTTTGATTAACTAGATCAAATTTGTTGCTGCACAACATCGAAGCGGAATGTATAACGTTTATGTGCTTGTCTCTCATTTTAAACCCTGTCTGTAGGAACATGCCATTTAAGACGTGATGAGGTACCTACGAATAATTTAAAGGGAATTTGTTTGGCTACTCTTTGAGATGTGGCTAAAACAGTTCTTTAATTGCTTTAAAACTAAAAATAATAATAAAAGCTTGGTGAAATCATAATAAAAGCTCAGTGAATTTCCAATATGGATACTTTTCCAGCATCAAGTGGTATGCTAATAACTTTAGCATACAATAAACTAATCTCTCTGTCATAAGCAATAGGTTCTGGGATTTGAAGGGGCAAAAACTTAAATACTGACATGAACTTATTTTAGTAAGGGGCATTAGGCATGTCCAAGATGGCTCATTGACAATGGCTTACCATCTTAAAGGCACTCAACTGCTTGAATCATTACCAAGTAATGGGGCCAAGCACTCAACTATCCATCCTTGTGACGTCAAATCGTGTATAAACCACATTACAATATCTAAATGTATAAAAGAATCCAAAACGGAGAAATTCTCCATCATTTCCGATGAAAGTTTTCCTTGATGTTGTGAGACTTCAACCAAAAAACTTGAGAAAAATTATTCGCAAAGTAGGCACCCTCTGAGAGTTCCCTCAGAGGAATGAAACATTCAGAAAGAGCAGGGTAGGAAGATTTGATGTGTACAAAGTATTCCAACTTCACAGACTCCAGTCTTGGGTTAACAAGAGACTTTGAGAGTTAACAACACTCCACGGGTTAAATTGCACATGTTCCTCCATGCATGTAGGTGGCACTCTAGCGTGAGATGACTGAGCTGATGGAGTTATAAGACGTCCCGCCACCGTTGCAGACCGGGCCGTAGGGTTCTGGTGGCGTGCCCAGGCTGTCTACGCTCACCCGAAACACCGGCGCCGCTTTTAGGAGGAAATCTGCAGCGTCGCGGCGGCCAAGTTCTCGTAGCTTAGCAACCAGAACACCTATGGTAGAGTCTGAACGTTGGCTCCACTCATGAAGGAGTGCTGCAGTGGGGCTCGGGACAGAGAAAGGGTCTGCAGGAGGAGTTCCGTTAGTGCCTGTGCTGTATTTAGCAGCAAGCTCGCTAAGACCCAAGTTCATTGCTAGCAGACACCAGTCCTTACCAAGGGCATCAGGAGGGTCCAACATGCGACAGAGCTTCCGTCTGGCCAGGTGGCTGACCTCAGCAACTGGAACGTCCCCACCGAGGCTCCCCCGCTTGTAGACGTTGGTGCAACCAAGCGTCACAATGCTGCTAAAGCTCTCGCGGTAGCCGCCCATGGTGTTAGCTAGAGCGTTCTCGCCACGAGCCTGAGCTCTGAAGAAGTCTCTGGGCTGGTAAAGCATGATGGGGCCATGGTGTTCCCGCAGTTGCTGAGGGCTCAAGTAATGGCGGGCGGTTAGCAGGCCTGGCAGTGTTGCGGTTAAGAGCCCCTCCGCCATGCCACACAATGTGTCCAACAGAGCGTAGCAACGGCCACGTTCCGATTCTGGCCCTCTAATTTGTACCTCTACACCCTGTCCATGGTTTACCAGCAGCACCAGGGCATCAGCCCCACCAAGTCCTATACGAGCTCCTCCACTCCACAGCCTCACTTCCTCAGCCTCCGCCTCGGGCCTCTGCTGCCTGCTCCAGCGACACAGGTTCACCTGAAGCTTGTGGAACAAGCCACAAGGGAATGGGGTCAAGTGCTCGGCCGGGACTATGCGGGCTCCGCCGTACAGCAAGGTGTCCTGTACCTCTTCATCTTCTTCATCGGTCCAGGAACGCTGCAAGCCACCTGTGCGGATCAGAGCAGGGACGTCCACCATACCTGGGTTGGCCAGGTCTCGGGCACAAACATCCATAGCATCCAGGATCTGGAGAAGCTCGTCCACATCTCCCTCAGAGACTAGAGTCTGGAGCTCTTCCTGACGGTAGCGTCCCCTGTAGTGGTGGATGGCTTTGGGGGTTTCGATGGAAAGGAGCTTGCCAAGAACGTTGGTACAGAACCAGCGAGGGTCTAAGAGAACCACATCTTGCACAGTTTCACTCTGCATGATATTGATCTAAGGCACAGAAAAAAAAGAGAGCAATGAGAAAACTATTCAAGCTGAGTCATTACTGGTAATCTTTTCCTTAGAATGTCGATGCATTTGTTCCTGGAATTGTGTAGTGATGTTTCATAACTGCATAGAATAAAAAGAGCCAGAGAGAACAAACAAATTCCACAGACTCCACTCATCGACCAGAAAACTACTCCCACATGAACAAACCATGACTCTACACTTCCATCTAGTGGACAGAAAAATAGTCTTTTTTTCCTGAGACACTTCACAGTAAAAGCAATTAAAAGTGGTTGAATAACTGTTTTAGGAAATGTCCTTCAGAGGACAGTGCAATAACATTCTTACATAACATGCCAGATGACTAACTCTCTGGCGTTTGTCCGCCAGCTCTGTTGTTGTTACACTGCTAACACAGTGTAGGAGGTGTAATTGGAAGAATAGAGGGATAGCTATTCAACCAAAGCCACCCACAACTCACCCATTATGATACACACAAATACATGCATGTTTGTAGACATACTAGGCACTTAATATGGATGTGCAATGGAAGTGAGATCCAAAGTTTAAAAAAGAGCCCCATTCACTTCTACAGTTCATGACTAACTTGGAATAGATATTAGAGTCCAATTCATTCAGTGAGGCACAGTGACATGTACATGTAGACTATACATTCAAACCCACACAGTCAAAGTAGCACCATGTACTGTGTACACTTACTGGTCACTTACTGTTTTTTTTTTTTCTAATTTCTGCATAACTTTTTTACATGATTATTAAGACATAAACAAAGTCATTCAGAGTGGTTTGATGTGAAATGCTCCATTCTAGAGAAATTGAAGTTAGAACTGTTCACAGTGGTGATAGGACATCTAAAAGGTTTAATGCCTCTAAAAGCTCCCTCACAGAAAGTTATTACATGAAATGGTTACAATTATGCTTTTTGGTGCCTAAAAATTGTTTTTTGATATAAAGTTTTGGCCTAAAACATATATGATGGGCTCCAAAAGTCTGAGACCACATTGAAAATCTGAGATTTAGCAAAATAAAAATACAAAGGTTCTAGGTCCTGGTTCAGATTTGACCAAAATTGTGACATTGACCATGTTAAGCACTTTGTACTAAAAGGTCAGACTTTTTTGAGTCTTATCTCTTCCAATGATGCGTGTTCAGATGAGGTGATCTATTTGTCAGAGGCTTTTGCACAAATTTGCGGAGACAGTATCAGCTCAAATGCACACTGCTTTTGAAGCAAAAGAGTGACACATTGTACCAAATACTAAGAAATCCTGAAATGTAAATATTTCAAAAGATTCTACTTTTCACTCAAATTGTTATGCTGATATTATAATTTGTAATGGAACTTAAATGAGAAAACAATGCAAAACAGAAGCATTTGAACTGGTGATTTCAGACCTTTGGGCCCCACTACATATATTTTTGAAACAATATTACTTTTTTTTTTTATTATTTATTCAAGGTGGAGAGGTACATGAAGAGCAAAACAGTCCTGAAGGAAAACAGACTTACCTCTATTGTACCATAAACATCACTAAAAAAACTGGTTGTTCACTGGTTGTTTTGATAGTACAATTATTAGATTTATGTTGTAGACCCCTGATTCCCATCATTACCACTGTAAATAAACTAATGAATTTCTCTACAATAAACTATTTCTCAACAATTTAACTATACAGACAGTTCAGTCCTGGTGATCTAGTGCCCTGGAGAGTTTAGCTCCTACTAGTGCTGGTTAATATGTCATCTAAACTGTTGTACTGTGATAATGATTTACTGTGATACTGCTTATCAAATTTAGATATGATTAAATAATTGATAGATAATGGGCAGGAGTATAACAATATATTCAGCCCATGATTTGATCTGATCCAAGATTGTGGGTTTAAGATTCAGTATTCTCACATTATTTTATATAAAACTTTTTGTTACTGCTTGAAAAAAGAAGTGCTGCAGTGAGTTGTTAATTGGTGTTGATCGTTTGTAAACAATTGGATTCAAAGAATACAACTGCATGAATGGCATAATTAATGCACCATGCATTGTCAACGTTTTTGCCTTGCGCTATCACCATTACAACTGTAACACCCCTAATAATGAGCTTTATAATGTATGTAATTTGCTGGGTGTCTCGGATTGTTTTGAAAGAACCCACAAACCCATGAAACTACATTTTCTTTCTGGAAATGTTGTTTATATCTAGATAATAATGTGTAATGTTCCCTTTGGTGTAATTTTAAGAGAAGCAGAAAGGAAAAAAACAGTCCTATGAAAACAAGCTGTTTTAGGTTTGTAAGACATTCTTTCAGCATAGAGTTGCAGTACTCAGAAAGCTTGGGTTCATTATCCCTTATTAATGAAAATTCATCTGATACTGTGATCTATTCAGAAAATACTGTGATACCGCATTTTTCATAACTGCCCAGCGCCAGTTCCAACATACCCAGCTGTAATATTTAAAAGCTTCTAAAGCCCTTGATTAATCAGGTGTGTTAGTAACTTAACTCTGCGGGGTGGTAGATAACCAGGACTGGATTTGGGCACCCCTGACGTAGAGGAGGCTGATTAAATTGTGCGGCAAACGATAGGCTGCAGTCAGTAATTATAAACCTACAAAGTGGTTTATAAACCTATGGGTCTGTGCAACAGCAGATACTACCGTTTTGTTTATTTAACTGCCAGTCAAAACAGCCAAGTTAAAGTTATTCATTTTTCAGCATCAGAAAGACAAGCGGAAAACACAAAACGCAAAAGAAAGTCCAACATGAAGTATAATATCAAATGTATTAGTATTTAATTTGTTCACTCTTTACTTTTCTGGCACTTTAACTCTTTCATCCTTCCAGTCTTAAAACCAAGGAGTTATAGGTGCATCCTCCCAACAAAAAGCTGTTCCCAAAAGAGCCACTGACATTATGTTCCCCTTCAAAGAGACACTAACATTCAAAACAAGCAACTACCCAAACACACGTCTTGCTAGTTTCTCTTTCATGGGCATCTAAAATAACTTATGAAGAAACTTCTGAGGATATTAGATATAAGCTAATCCATTTGCATTTGGAAGTAAATCAAAGGAAAATAAGTCGATAAACACGTGTTTCCTCCAGAGGTGTTCCTGTCTGTCCTTTCACTGTGACAAGACAACTCAACGCTATGGGTGTGAAAGGAAGTGTAGCTGTCAACACATCATTACTGAGAAAAGGAAATAACAAAACAAAAGAAAATTTACACTAGAACACTAAAACATGACATGTGGAGCTGAGATGTGGAGCAAGTTTTTGAGGAGTGATGAGTCTAAATTTGTAATTAGGATTAGTTGGACCAGCAGAAACAGAAAATGTAACCAACTTGAAAGACTGAACTTTGGAGGTGTGGAAAAATATATCTCTGCAAATTTCTTTGAAATACTGTTAAAGTAAGTCTCCTGAAAAGAATGAAAGCTCTAATAATGGGTGGACAAACTCAATACTGAAACAATGCTATTATATTTAGTTGTTGTGGCTATTTAGTATTTGACGGCCATTTTGACTGGAAATGAAATAAATGAAAAGTTGGTCTCTGACTTTTGCACAATACTGTATATGGAAGGTATACCTGATAAACTGTCCAATGAGTGTAGGTACAAGACTTTGTGCAGTCTTTGGAATTTATTGCTTAATGCCACATACACACACATATACACACACCTCTCCCATGCTGTGCAGCTGTAAGGCTAGTTCCCGCAGGTCCTCTTCGCTGACCAGAGGGTTGATCTGGTCCTGCACATCTGCCACAAACTGCTGCCAGGACATGAGCTGGTTTGGTCCAGTCACTTTACGCCACAAGGGCAGAGTGGACAACAGCTTCTCCGCCAGCAGGGTCATTGGCCTACAGCTCTGAAACAGAGAGAATGAGTGTCAGGAGAGACTGAAAGACCACATTTCTATTCCACCTTTAACAATCTGTCGGAATATTTCAGCCGATGCTCCTTTGCTTGAAGGTACGATGTTAACTAGAGTGAGAGACAGAAGGTAGAATATGACAGCGTGAAGGTAGACTTGAGTCACCAGGATCAGAAAGGCAGATCAGGCTGAGATGGCTGCAGGTATGTGTAGGAGGAAAAGAGAAAGAGTGATGTAGGAGGAGAGAGGGTCTCATTACAGAGAGTGTGTGGGATAGGCTTTGTGCTCTTTTGCTGTTTGTATATGTGCATGTGCATAAGAGAAGAGGACTAGAGGGCCTTGTTTAAAAGAGTGGGTTCAGACTGAGTCACAATGCACCACACAAATGCACACACACACACACACACACACACACACACACACACACACACACACGCCAGCAATTCTTCATTTCAGAAATGTTGATTTAAATTCCTTTCAAAAATCTGCTATTAAAATTTCAATGATGGGCAGATAATTGATATCAGATATGGAGATGATGCATAAAAGTGCTGATATTATGCACAATCTTTGTCTTTGCAGTTTTTATTGCTTTGCCTTTAATTAACAATTCTCTTTGTACAAACCTTCCACTTTATTATTAATTCAAAAATGGGCAGTGGGGTCCAAAAATGTGAGACCACATTGAAAAACTGGCATTTTTTTGACATGTAAAATGAAGAAGAAATATTTAGAATTCTGAAGTATTTTTAGATCAATATTCACATTTAAGTGAATTTGTGTCACTGACCATCTTAAGGCCTTTGTACAAAAAAGGTCAGTATGGTCAGTATTGTTTTTTCGTTTTATTCCTTTCATTGAGCTTGTGTTCCAGTGGACCAGACGTTACAAACGCCAATATCGATTCATCTGCAACTAGCTCACATTGGCTGATAATATTGGCATTATTGGTCGGGCTCTAGTTAATATCCAGCGGTTCTCTGTGCTTATTTGGTTGGAAACCGAATAACGGCAAACTAGCATGTTACAAATAACATTAAAAGTTAGTTCAGATAATTATAATAATTATAAGGTCAATATATTAGCTTCAGGTAAATTGAAAACTACAAGGTAAGGATTTGGCGACTGCCACTCCACAAAAGCTCAGTCATAAGGCCTATAAATCACTGCAGGGGCTGATAAGAAAGGTCTTACTGAGATGATGGAGTTGCGCAGCTCTAACAACAGGTTCCTCAGCAGCTTCATGTCTTTGGAGTTGGAGGCTCCGGCATCCATTATGAAGAGCTTCTCAGCTATCTGCAGATCATTCCCAAACCTGAGAGAAATTGCAATCAGTTTTACTGAAATATGAACTGAATGCCTTTAAGCTGCAAAATATGCAAAACATGGGGATCCACTTTCTGTACGCATCTTTAATATCGGCAAGTTTAACTGAATCAAACAAATAAATATATAAATTCTATATGAATACAAACTTTTAAAAAGATTTTTTCACAACACTGTAGACTGTGACCACCTTTTCATTCATTTACTTTCTAGTTACTCATAACATTATTACGTTATTCATATTTCAGTATACGGGAAAGAAAGGTTAGGAAATTTCAGTATTTTCAGTAAAGACGAAAGCACTGTACTGTATGTAGGACAGTTTATCTGATGGTGACAGGTTTGGTGGTCAGATCTTGTGCGGTTGTTAGGAGTCCTGTTTTTCTGTATCTTTTAATCATTTTTTGAACTCCAGTTTTGGAACTTCCTTTTTTTCCTTTTTCTGACTTTGCCCTTCTTTATGCAAGTGGATTATTTTATATCTAACCTGTTCAGAAATATATCCTAAAAACTGATGTATACATACTTCCACTATTTGGATATTTAAGGTATTTATTAAATATTTATTCAATATTTTAAGTTTGAGATTTGTTCACCACTTTTTAAATATGAAACGTTCTGGATATTAATACATCTACAACTTCATTATGAATGTTATAGAGCTTTCTCAATCAATATGGAACCATTTACAGCTTTGTTCATCATTGTGGACACGTCTGAAATGACTTTTACAGGTTCCTTAAAAACAAGCTAAAACCTATGAAGCATTATAACAGAATAATGGTAGAAATGTATTTTCAACAAATTTATTTTATATTATTGACAAAAGCGATTCAAACTTTTGAATGGTAGTGTATATATACCAAGTTGAAGTCAGGCAGCTTTATATACTGAACAGTTATAACATTGTTACCGGTTGCGGACTTCCTTCAACAGACATCTCTCCTTGTCGTAGCTGAACTCTCCACCGAAAGAGCGATGCAGGTTTGCTATGTCAGCATGAGTGGCCACCAGCACCACATGAAGAGGATTCCTTATCTTCCCTCCAAACGCTGCCAACATAGCACAGTACAATTCTTAAATCACAGGACTTCCTATATACATGCTCTTCCTTACTGTCCAATTAATGTCAAACATTCAGCCCACTTCTGGCAGCTTACTGAGCCTGAACTGATGAAGTGTCTGCAATTTAAAGTGCTCTTTTTTTCTTAAACAGCTTTCACAGTGTGAACAAAGTTGCGGATCGGCTGCCACTTAACTTACACCATCCCACGCCATCAATTAGTAGAAAAAAAGAAAGCTTAAAACTAGGCATGGCTGGAAATATGAGAGAACACTTCAGAAACACACACACGGACCTAGAGTCTAAGTGGCAGACAGTATTGAGAAGCATGCAGATTCTCTGTTGATTTACATTACTGTATAGTTAGAGACCACCCTTCTTTTATTTAATTTCCAGTCAAAACAGCCATGGAGAACAAGTTATTCTTTTTTCAGCGTCAGAAAAAACATACATGACAGAATATTACAGAGAAGCCACAATAAGTGCAAAGTTCAGTCTTAAAACACAGTTGCATTTTCTGCTTCTCACAATCCAAGTGATGATGTGGAGGTCTGGGTGACAGCTGAAGCATTTGATGGTGACAGTTTTGGTTGTCCACCAGGCCTTGCATGATTGTTAAGAGTCCCATTTTCTCTTCTTTTCTCATTTTTTCACTTATTTTTCTTTAACTCTCTCAGTCTTAATGCAAGTGGATTATCTTAAATGTAATTTCCTCAGAAACATCTCCTGGAAAATGAGTACCTTGCGATTAATGGCCATTTTGACTGGAAAAGAAATAAATCAATGTTGATCTCTGACTTTTTCACAGTGCTGTAATTTTTTAATAATTTAAGGTTGTTTGTTAATTCATATCATGGAAAAACAAATTTTCCATTTTCCATTCCAGTTCATATATGGAAATTAAGGTGCAAAAGCATTAACTGATATCACAAAAATCTACACATTTATATATCTGCCTATTCAGCCAACAGCAGTTTAACTCCACCTGTTTACTTTGTTATAAAGAGTGTTTGAACCTGGACTGCTTTTTGTATAAGGGAAACATGACATACAGGACAGCCAATCAGAACAGAGGTCATTTACATTTCAACCTTAAAGACAGTAACAAAAACAGCTTGTTTAATTTTAAGGAATTAAGAAACATAAATTACGACTCCTTTTGGTACATAGTCTCTAACATTACAAATGGATCTCAGGGAACAAAATAAAATGCAATAAAATGTAAGTTATCGCCCTTTATTACACAATATTGTGTGGCATCGGACGTTTGAGTGAAGTGTAAGTAGGCCATGTTTTTATTCTTTTCTGGCTCTACAAACCATTGCAGGCTGACTGCTGAACTGTTTCTACTTCAATCAACTGCTAACTGCACAGCAGTGATTTTTCACAAGTTTAAAAACAAACTGATCAATGCCTTGATTATTTAGACTAGGTGAGAAACAGTAGTCAGAAGCATGCAGAGTGTTATTTTTTCATGGTTTATTTGTATCATGTTTCTTGCTTTTTATTACTGCTACTGAGCTCCTGCTTTCGTACCACTGTATTTAAAACGTTCCTCTTGAACTCAATCATCCCAGAATAAAAGTCCTGTCTTTAGGTTGTGAATCCTTTTAGATCCTCTGTGTGCTCTGTATCACTTTGCTTTCTTCTGTTTGAATGTTTTCTAAGAGTGTCTGCTAAATGACTAGTAAGTGCTGCACTGTATCTTTCAGTGTATTCATCTAATAGAGGGCAAACACAACTGACTTGAACGCAATAAACAAAATTTCAAAAGAAATATGTTACAAGGTGAAAGACAAACCAGGCTATGAAAAAGGAGACAGGGATTAACAAAAGGACAGAGCAAAAACCTACATCAGTATTAAGAAATGGTCAACACTGCAAAGAGAAAAACAATGGCCTGCCACCTGCCTAATATGTTATCGGTCCTCCGACACACTGAGGCATGGCCTCTACTAAACCGCTGAAGGGGCCTTGTGGTATCTGGCACCAAGACGTTAACAGCAGATCCTTTAAGTCCTGTAAGTTGCAAGGTTGAGCCACCTAAGATTGTAGTTCCAGCACATCCTGCAGATGCTTGACAGGACTAAGATCTGGGAAATACAGAGGCCAGGGCAACACCTCGAACTCTTCCTGTTTCTCAAACCATTCCCCAACAACGTGTGCAGTGTGGTAGGTTGCATTATCCTAATGAAAGAGGCCACTGCCATCAGGGAGTACCATTGCCATAAAGGGGCGTACCAGTTCTGCAACAAGTAGGTGGCATGACTTTTCTTCCCACAGTGCCACCACTTCCATAATCATATCTACACTCTATGGTTCCAATTTCTCTGTAATTATAGTTTCTTACTCTCATTCTCATTATTGTTACGGTGCTGGCTCTTAAGGGAAACTGTAGCGATCCACTTTACTATAGCTTTTGTTAGTTTACTGCTATTTGATTGATCCATAGGTCCCATGCAAAGTATTGCTTCAAAAGGATTTTACAAGCTGTATTTGAATGAAAAGGCTACAATCGTGGATTCTATCATACCGACATATGCGAGCAGCTGCGCTTTATGTAGTGGTGTTAATAATCCAACATGTTAACTTTTACAGCCCTAACTTTTAATGTAATTCATTACATAATTACATAATTAACTATAAAATTATGTAAATATGTTTAAGTAGCGTAGCAAAACAACAGTTATTATTCTTGATGTCTAAGGGTTAAGAAAGACCCACAGTAAGAGCTTCCACACTGACATAACAACAGACTACACCCACACACACACACACACCACACACTCACCGATGTTGTCCTCAGGCAGAGTGAGGGCTTTGAGGCAGTTGAGCCAGAAGGTGATGTGGCTGAGCTGAGTCTCGTATGGCTCCTCCAGGCTGAACAGAACCAGGTGGATGGCTGTGCTGTCGTTGGCCACAAAGTAGTCGTAAGTGCAGTGATACACCGGGTTACCGGAAAACTCCCACACACTAAAGTCCCCCACACCTAGCACACACAGGCACACAAATTATTTATTGAAAGGCTGCACTTTTCATGAAATATAACCCAAAATACCATTTAATAATTACCTCCTTCCAAATTCTTATTTTAATTCCCCTCTAACAACACGACAGAGAATTATTAATGCTGATAACTTAGTCATGACACATGAATAATAAAAACACTGAATAAACATCAATAAATATTTCAAGGTGATAGTGATAGCTAAACTCAGTCTTTTAAATAATTGACAGCACTTAAATTATTTTAGGAAGGAAGATATTAATATTCGTCTTTAGTCTCCTAGGTAAAAAGCAAGGAAAAGCAAATTTTTCTTTATAAAAATGAGTGGAGGTTAAAGTCATAGTTTGACAAATACAAACAGTTTTCACTTGACCCAAATGTATAACATAAAGCATGGACAATGTTGTGGACACAATCCAAGCTTTAAGATGGCTGCATGTATTGCATGTATAGCTAATTTCGTCCATTTTATAGATATCAGTATATCACACAGTGTCATAAACTGTGTGCTTTACGCATAAGAGAAGTACAGTGAAAATGCGAACTAAAGATAAACACATAGGGATGAACATGTGGTTGAGAAATGCCGATATCATGGTGAGAGCTAGAGAATATGTTAGAACAAACTGACAGCTGGCTTGAAATTGCAGAGTGGCTGTGTTCAACAAGCAGCTCCTCTATATGTATGGGCTACTGCACATGGCATACATACATGTCTTTTTTTCCTTTTTCCTAGCTCTCTCTTACTGGCTACTGTGAGTCACTCATTAAATTACATTGCTGCCTATCTCCCACTACAAGACTCATTTTAAACTGTAAAAACAAAACATACAAAAAAAAATATCGGATGACTCCAGAGCTAGATAGGAAGGCAAAGACTGACTCGTTCTTTTTCTGCATTTCTAGAAAATGCAGAACATCAATCGCTTCTGACAGAGCTCCTGACCTGGAAAATCGCTTCAGATTGTGGAAAACGTGTCAAAAGGGGCAAATCTAGGTTAAAGTCCGGCTACGAATGGTGAAGTGTAATCCCAGCTTTAGCTAACTGACTATACTGGAGTTAAGAGGGGGGTGAGGGTATCACTCCTATGAGATAGAGTCTCTGACCGTTGACGCTGGCTGTCTGGATGTCGATGGCCTTGGTGGCGGTGTCATCGGTCGTGGACAGCGCATTGTGGACGGGCGTGAATACCTCCAGAACTCCTTTAGTAAGACTGGGCTCAAACATCATACTGCGGCTCCTCACGCTCACGTTCTCACAGCCTGGGTACAGATTAGAAATACTCACAGAGACTGTGTGTACACACACACACACACACACACACACACACACACACACACACACACACACACAATGTCATTAGATCACAGGATTATTTAATTTAACCCAGCAATTGCCATTATTAATACTAATATTCATTACAGATTCATTAATCCATTGATAAACATGGAGTAATGCCTCTTATTCTGGGAATAAGACTCTGACTACACCACAGTAAATGAGGGAATTGTGCAGTAACCACTTATAATCAGAAGGGGGAGCTAAGTACATTTAACAGAACATTTGGTGGACCTTGAAAATCTTGCTTACACAAAGTACATAAGCAAAGAGCCTTGGAGTGAGGGTGCTTATCTACGATATGATTCAAATACACTCTAAAAATTATATGCCACACATTCAATCAAATAGATATCGGCCAACAAAGACAGAGTTTGTTGCCTCAACATAAAACATGCATTTAACATCAACATTTCAATTAAACAGCCCCCTTTGGTTATGGAAAGCAAAACCTGTTCCTAGATCAACAACTTCACATGATTCCCAGCTTTAAAAGCACAACAATATTTACAGAAAAAAAAAACATTCAAATTCTAAAGAATGCTATACATGCATTCACAGTGACGAGCAGGCACTTTCTTTGCAGAGTGTGGAGACAAAACCCTGTTCTGGCAGATCAATCATAGAAGAAAGACATTCGCTATATGGCTGCGAAATGTTACTGAACCAGTCGATATTTAATAAGTGTTAACGTTTGGAGCAGTAAAATTGCTGGCAGTTCTTTTGCAGTCAGGGAAGAACACTCATCAGTGTCGCCCAAAGAAAGCCTTTTTTTCCATTCTCACGCCTGGTGTGTGGATTTGGAGAATGCGTTAGTCACGCTGTGCTGAATATGTCTAGCAAGCTTGACACCTTCCACAGAACTCCGGTTCTTTCTTTTAAACTTTCACTTCCTTTTAAGATGCCGTCTTTGACGTGAATATCTTGTGGGAGGAAATGCAGAGAGAGAAGCAAAAACAGGAAAAGCTTAAGTGATTTACATTAAGAAAATGTTAATTCAAGGGTTCTGACAAACCACAGTTCTTCTGTTATCCCAAATCGATCAGGTAGGATATGCCTGGTGCTTTAGCTCTGCATTTCCAGGTAATGGAAGCTTATAGCCATCAGTTAGCACTGTGCAAACTGAAGCCTAAATCATCACAGAACTGCCACAAACCACATCAAGGTACTGAGCAATCTCAAAGAGATTGTGGTTTCTAACACTGTATCACACACTGTTACCTATACAAATATAAAGCAGCCATCCTGAAGCCTGAATTTTACTTATTGATTTATGCTAACCTGGCAGGTATGGGTTTCCATTACTTGTTAGCTATGTTAGCCTCACAGCACCAGTAAAAATCTATAAATGTTCATCTGTGACATCAAATATATCTTGGCTGATTGACGACATCAGGGTTAAGGGGAAAACTGTGTAAACTATTTCTTTTTTTTGCTTTAATATTTTAACCTTGGAAACTTGGAAACCTTTTAGTTCACAAATCTGATTGCAATAATGCAGTTCCCTTTCACAGTTTTTGAGTGTCCCTTCACTGCATAGATCATTAGCTTTTCTAGTTTTACACATCCAGTTCAACCCTTCGGTCAGTTTCTAAAGTCTTATTTGAACTTGAGTTTGTTGGAGCAGGGAAAAGCCTAAATTGAGGAGGTCCTACAGGATTAAGATTAGGAAACACTGCAGTACTACATTACATACTACATTAAAGCTTCTCGATTCTAATCAGGTATCCTCAGGAGGTGGTGTAGTAGGGTATACTGCAGCCGCAAAGCTATTACATTTCAAACTGTTCTTTGTTGCATTCTCCTGTCAACACCGTACTGAAATGTTTTTCGTAGTATTTCCTGAGCCCAATCCCTGTGGAACCCCAGAAGGTCCACATCTCTGCTGTATCCCTCCTCCAAGCACACCTTTTATTAGGTATTCAGTTCTTGAATGTTTGGTTTAGGTGCGATGGGAACTGGAACACAGCAAAAGTGTGGTCTAGCTGAGACTCCTGAGGACTGGGCTGAGAAACACTGGCTTACCAAAACTAGCAGGTGTGGTTATTAGAATATTAGAAAATAAGATCTTAGCTTCATTTATGTAGTTGAGGTGTCAATTAAGGTACATATAGTTTGAAATAAAAAAAAATTAAATAAGTTGTTCATTAGCTCGTCATTGTTGAATATGTATATGATTGTGCGTAACGCGGAACTTCAGAGAATGTCGAGACACAAGCAGCTGAAATTGCATTTCATGTTAAATGAAATGGCTACATCTCAGACCCTGTTACAATTGGTCGTTTCATGCATCTTGAGTATCAGGATTATATCCGGATAGAGAGTATTCACATAAAACGGAAGGTGTTTACAACTTGCATTAATGTATTTCATGTCTGGATCGTATCTGGATAAACTTTGGAAGGATTCTGTTTACAATATTCGCGCCTCCAGTTTGACCAGATGAGATCTGATTGTATTTTCCTGCATAAAAAGCACATCAACACATACGTTGTTTCCGTTTTACTCTTGTTTACTCTTTCCCTCGTTACAATATGAGTGGACAAGTTCAGCTTGGACGCTTTCATCAACCTGGAATGCATGAAGACGTTTGGTTTAGGGATAATTCCAGCCTTGTGTATCCTCTATCTTTTGTTTCGTGGTTTGTTCTCTCACCTGCTTTTTGGTGCTTAAGAGACACATGTCTGCTCAAGTTATTGTATACGATAACAAAAATGCTTTGCATTTACACTCGTGGTAAATGTGTGAAGATCTGTCTCTGATCACTTCTGAATGTGGTTTGAGTGATCCAATCGTAATCTGATCACAATGCGTCCTGGGGGTGTTTACACCTGGATTTTCAAGCGGTCAAGTGAAATGCAAACATGATCCGATCATCAAAAACACTGTTAATGCTAGGTGTAAACAGGCTCAACAGCTTTTAATTCATGTGGTCCATGACTGCAGTAACTACTACAGGAGGCTAATTATTCTAAACAGCAGTCTTCTTTTAAACACTGGTGTAAGAAAATTAATAACACTATGCAAAATTTTATTTTTGTGGTCGCAACCATCTTTTGAACAAATTATGGAAAATGAAAAACATGACAGGCAACCAGTTGTTATATATATGAGCTGATTTGCATATTACATGCTATATGGCAAATGGATTTAAATCTCACTGGAGATTTGATAATCAAGTGTAAATGCCAAGTGCAAATGACTATATATGGAAATGTTTCAAAAATAAAGATTACAGAAGTCTTCAAGGTAAGTTGCACAACGCTTAGTTATCATTGTGTCGTCTGATAGTATGTAAATGACATACATCTAAACCACAAAGATCAATCGCTAAATCATCTGAACTAAATCAAGTATGGACTAACTCTTGCACTGTTTCCTAACAACAAGCATAGTAAAAAACAAAAAAAAATGCAGTACTGCATTCGGGTTGCAAAGCGTTCAAATGCATCAAATGCATGCGTCAAGTCAAAACATAAACAAAAGTAAATTAACAGACCCATCAGAAAATAGCTTGAGACTTCAACTAAAACTGGTGAATAAAATGGTTAAATGCCCATCATTAATCTTAACCATGAATGACAACAAACTAACACTAATAAACACAGTGGCACAGTGAACCGTACGGGTTAACCCTTACCTGCAGGTTTGGAGGTGGCCGGAGAGGCTGGGTGTCTGACAGGATTGGTCAGCCTGGGTCTCCTGCGCCTGAAGAAGCTCCTCAAGATGCCACACTTCAGAGACTCCAGCAGCGTGCTCTTTCCTGCCCCAGAGTGGCCGAATAGCTTCAGCTTGATTCGCGGCTGAGGCGTCTGAGTGGGCCGCAGCTGCTGGATGTACCCGCCTTTGTGGTTGTCCTTAGGGACCAATCAGAGAAGGTACGCAAATGAATGGAGGCCAATCACACAAGAGGAAGCCATAATATGAACCAAGAGGCCAAGGGATGTTGATGAGAGCAGTGATGGGGCAGAGGAGTCAAATCGAATGAATGCAAACCAAAATGATGCTTATGCACCTCAGTGTCTATTTATTAGTGGGCAACTTGGGACATGCAGCTAATAAAAAAAAATCGGCTTACAAAAAATCTACCTAATCTTGTTTAATCTTATCTTATTCTTCTACCTAATCTTATATTATCAATTAGAATATGAATGTGGTTGATGAAATACAAGTAACTACTTGTATTTGTACTAGGGCTACACAATATTAACTAAATACTACATCCTTCAACCGGTTCTTTAGTAAAGCCAATGGTTATATAATCATGGCATCTCAAAGAACCATATGAATGTTAAATGTTTCTTCTCCATGAAAGAAGACCTGCGGTATATAGTTTTTAAAATTACCTTTAAAAAATGTTCTACAGTCATATGCAAGAGTATATTTAATATATTTATCTACATTAAAAATGCACTGGATAAGCAATAATAGGGGAGACAGGCTTGCATTATTTCAACCAAAATAATTTTTGTTGGACTGTATGAATACCTTGAAATGCACAATACACAGTACAAAACAAAAACAAACAAAAAAAATGCAGTTTGTTAGAGTGGTCCTTTGCACATTGCAGAAAACTGCAATGTCAGTATTGTTTAAGCCAATACTGTGATAATGAGTATCAAATTATACCTATGACCTAAATCAAATCCAAGAATGTCTTAATAAGACTACAGTTAACAGACAAGCCACAAACTGAACTTCTCTATGAAATAGACAGTACAAACTAGTGGGTATCTCATTACTGTGCTACAAGCAGTGTATCTTATACAGATGTTGACAGGGATGGATGACAAACCTTTTTCAGTTTGGCCAACAACAGTGCTATATGTTCTTGCTGCTCTGCAGTTGCCAGATCCTCTGCTGTCTTTCCATCCTACAAAAAAAAAAGAGAGAATGACAAAGACAGATTAACTGCATGGAAACGATGAAGCAAGACTCTAGATGTCCAGACAGATGAGCAATGCTTGGTAACTAGAGCTCTATTACATGGCTGTGCCTGCTCAATCTGCTCTGAATTACTACTCTATCACACACTGATAGAGCTCTGATGATACCATTAGAATGAGAGAGAGAGAGAGAGAGAGAGGACAGACAGAGAGACAGACAGACAGAGAGAGAGGTTTTGACTTTATAGCTATATATAGCTTTATAGCATATATATATATATATATATAGCTGGTGTCAGAAGAAAACTTCATATCTCTGAATTGATAACTTTACAGGAGAAGGACAAACCCTACTTAATGGAACCAGACTTTTTTCCAAATCATTTTAGGTCATTTCTTTTAGTCCATTCATCATTAAATTTACAGACAATGTAAAGGGTGACACACATACACACACACACATACACACTTAGGTCATCTTTACAGATGTGCATATATATAAAAAGACTTTTTATATTTTTATTTTTTAAACACATTTTTAATTTTAATAACCTCTTTCACGATCACAAGGTCTCTTTACAGTACTCAGGAAAAAAACAGCTACCATGGGGCACAGAAAGGAGAGAAGCGTGGTTTAGGAATTTAACAACATAGACTTGGCAATGTGCTCATTTTCAGATACTTGTGTTTTATATCAGCAAAGTGCAATACATTTATTCACAAAACACGAACAAACTCACTACGTTTTATTGGACTGTTAAAATAACTGTCATATGACTGAACTGGTGGTCTGTATATTTTATCTGTCTTCCAATGATGGACAAAACGAATACCTGAATAGTGATTTTGGTATTTAAAAACTGGCACCGTGAACGAGTACTCGAGTACCCATGCACAGCCCTATTAAGAATGTGTTCACAAGAGATTTAGAGAAGGAAATAGGAGTATGACCTTGAAGAGGTCATTGGAAAAATGAATTCCACAATTCTGGGGCTACAGCACTGAAAGATCTGCCACCCATAGAGGAAAGTCTCGAGTCAGTGGGATCGTGAATAGACTGCAGCCAGATGACCTGAGAGTATAGCGTAGTCTGTAAGGTTGAAGAAACTCCCAAAATATGTCAGGGCCAGACCATGAAAGACATTGAATGTAGTAACTTAAAATGTTAGGCTACTGGTAAGCAGTACAGCTGACTAAGAATGGCTTGTGGGAGCAGATGTTTTGTAAGTAAGCACTCAGGTTCCTTATATTGAGTGTGTTTAATTCCCCTAAACTGAGTTAATCAGAACTGGATCATCTGAATGATAGAATCAGGTGAATCCACTTAGAGCTGCAATATAATTCTGCGAGAGAATCATCAGGATCAGTTAGATGCACACTATTTAGCCAGTGCCATTTGTTATGTTAATAGACATAATGCTGTCTTATCTCTTGAGAAAATAAGACATAAGAGGGGTTTGTGAGAGTGAAGACCGAGTAGATTTATGGGGGTCAGGGCATGAGGCTGATTGGATGCTAAATCGTAATGGGCAGTGGTTGGGAAGACCACATGCTGAGGGGGAAAAAGCCAGCTTTACAGAAAGAGCATGGGCCGAGTCAGCATACACACATGCACGGATTAACACAGATACCACAAACGCATACAACACGTTTCAGGGGCAGGGGGAAAAGAAATCAGTTAACCACAAATCCCCACAGTAACCACCCTCCGACCCCTTCAGCCAACACCTAGGACCACAAGCTTATTTGCTAAGCACAGAGAAAGAAACAGCTGTGGTCTATGCTCAGAGCTAAACATGACAAATCAAACAGCCAAAATCTGAATGTAGAAGGTACTCTACACACACACACACACACACACACACACACACACACACACTTCAAATACTTAAACTCCAAGTCAAGTCAAACACAGTTCATAAGCCCATAATTGCCATTTCGTTTCATGGGTAAAGATGGTACTGGGCTGTGTAATATTCAGCCTTTGTCTAAAAAAAATGTGAAACCAACTCAGTGAGTTTATGAGCAAAGCTGTTAAATACTAGGACAGTACTAGTAAAGATAGTAAATACAATAATACCATTATTGTAATAAATTACTTCACAACGTACTTGAGTGTATCAAGTGAACAAACACTACATCAGTAACGCTGAACAACTGTCTTATGAACAAGACAATCAGTTATAGAGAGCCTATAAAACAACCTGTGTATAACAACTGCATAAACCGCATAGTAATAAGTATCTGCTTGGAAAATTCATTACAGCACTGTGGAAAAGTCAGAGGCTACCCTTCATTTGTTTAATGTCCATTCAATTACATTCAAGGTATTCATTTTTCAGGAGATATTTTGACAAGACTAGATATAAAATAATTCACTTGCATAATTGCCTTATGGTTAAGAAGTCAAAAAAAAAGGGTAAAAAAACAGGAGTTTCCAAAACTGGACCTCAAAGAATGGTCGAAAGATAAAAAGAAAACAGAACTCCTAACAACCATGTAAGACCTGGTAGACAGTATTCTCAGAACAATGGACTGCCTACCCCAGAGTCCAGACCTCAACATCATTGAATGAGTTTGGGATTATTTGTATCGTGAGAAGCAGAGAATGTAACCAACTTCTCAGAATAAACTTTGAAGGTGTGGAACAATTTCCTGGCAGATTCTTTGAAAAGCTGAAAGAATAGAAGCTGCAATAAACATAAGGATAGACACATTAAATACTAAAGAAATTATATTTAATTGGTGGCTTATGACAAATTTTCTGTTAAATATATCTTTTTTTTTTCCTGACACAGAGAAATGTATTACTAAATGGCCATTTTGCCTGGAAATTCAAACAAATGAAGGGTGATCTCTTTTGCATAATGCTGTACCTTGTGTTTTAAAAACACCTTCAAGGACAATGCTATATTTTTGCCCTATCGCCCACCCTTAATTATGTGCTAAATGAGCAATGGCAGCCATCACCATCATCAGCCAGTTTGATCTATATACAAATCAAAAGCACATTCAGTCTCAACTATCAAGGGTTTGCTTTGATCCTTATACAAAACTTCTTGTCAAGTGTATTAAGTATATTGAAAGAATCTTAATTTTGTGCTGCAATGGCAAAAACCACTTTGCATAGATGAGTGTTTTCAAATTGGTCTTTTTTTCCTCTCTCTCATTCACACACATTAACACACACTAATGAACATGTCGAGGAGAAGGCAGCAGATGCGGTCGAGGGCTGAAAGTCCGTTAAAACACAAATGGTGGAAAGACTGCAGTCTCTTGATTCTAGTCTAATGCTTGCTTGATTAAACAAAAAGCCCTCTTGCCAGCAGGAGTGCTTTCTAACATGACCACATATTATGTCAAACACATTACCCCATTTTCACTCCTTCGTTCTGAGCTTTTTTCCTTTTCACTATTTGATTTTTCACTCTTTGCCTTCTCCCCTGTCCATCTGAGACATATCTGTCTTTGTTTGTGGATTTCTAGAAGCCTCCAAAAGATTGAAGAAGCCTTCACAGCTCAAGGTTGAGGAACATATTTGGGGAGACTCATCCAATCAAGGTGTTCTGACACATCGAGGCTACAGCTGTCTTTATTGAAAAAGAAAGATTACAGAAGCATGCAAGACACTACAGACCATCTGCAGTCCTTTGGCAGAAACTCAAAACATGAATAAATATATAAATCAAACTGTGATCATTGACTATTAGAAGCCTCAGTTGCGAAATTTAACAATTGATTTCTTACTTTAAACATGTGGATAAATTCAATCAATACGACATTTGTGTTTGTAAAGAAGGGGAGAGGAGGTATTTTAGTACAGTGGCCAACAATCCCGCACCTGGAGATCCACCTTCCAGTAGGTTTCAACTCCAACCCAGATCTAACATCTCATTCAGCTAATCAAAGACTTCTAAAGGCAGAAGCCAATTCTGTCACATTAGCTAAGAAATGCCTGTTCAGCTAGCACCACACCGAGGACCATTCTACCCATTCTACGTCTAACGGTGCTGAGATGTACACTGGGTTCATTTTAAGTATACACAACAGGAAATTTGCTGGTAGTATGATCTCGTTTATTCTTTCATCTTTTGAAGTATACTGTCAGTTTTTGTCTTTTTTTGTGCAAAGACGAAAGGAAATCCTTTACATTTCTCGTATGTTTTCATCAAGAGTTCACATCTCATAAAAAGTCAGATGTGCAGACTTGGACATGTTATAGAATGTACACTTAAATAGTGTAATAAAAATAGGGTAGTAAAAATGTAGTGCCTCTATCATTCCATGACACATTGTAGCCAATGCATTAATAGGGGCCATAAAGATGCCACAGAAAATAAATTATTGACCCAAAGCCCACTGTGTCCCATAACACACATGCATGTATCTGCCATCATATAATATTAACAGCACGAAATGCAATATGGGACCCACCACAGACCATTTTTTGGGAGAATGAATAGAGTTGAGCCAGTTCTGTAGTTAGTAGGCACACAGAGGAGACTGTATGTTGGCCTGGGAGTGCAGTGGAGCTGGAGCGATTCATGCGGGGTGGGGTGGGGGGGGGTGGGGGCGGTGAGGGGTAGTGAGGGTTATTGATTGGGAATGCTGCTATAGTGAGAGTTGAGGGATTTGCAAGGGCCTGTTGTCCTTCACCTGCGCAGAGTGTGAATCTGCACAGAGGGAGTGAGCCACTGGTGATTGCAGCATAATTAAACAACAGCATTCATTCTGGGAGGAGTTTTTTTTTCATAACAGTTGAGCAGATATGAAAAACGTCATCAATACTGATTTTAACTTAGTATTAGGATATTTATTATTATTATAAGCTTTTACCACTATGTACTTTGAGGCTGTTTGGACCCGGTGTCCGGTTGCCCTTCATAGCCAAGAACTTTTCTGGCCTACCAAGGTTCCCAGGCTGGCCACTTGTGTGATACACCCCTGCAGCTGCAGGGCAGACGTCCCCTGCACTGTAGGCCCCTGCCCCAGGCAGAGAAGGACATTTCCCTGAGGACCTTTCCTTTAGGGACTCTTTCCAGGCTAGCTAAATGACTATACTGTGGTCTGGGGATTTATCAAAACACCCAAAGAAACGCTCATTTGAAGCTGTGATTGGTCAGTCTGCTCACAGCACATGGTTAAATAATGGTTAGTAAATGGAGGGTTCATCTGGAAAATCAGTATTACAAAGAACAATATTAGGATGACAACAAAAAATATTGTGTGGCATGTCTAGCTGTCAAATTACTTAAAAATCAACTGTCTTTGTTCCATTGTTTTTATCAGATTTTTTCCCCAAAAAGCATTTTCTTCTGTTAATTTTGTGGCACCCCCAAAAGTGGATGTGGAAGCAAATACAGTGACATGTGAGTTAAAGCTTAATCTTTGTCAAATAAAAAAAACATAGTAATAGTGCAGTTCAGTTGTAATATACTGTCACTATTAATTTGCCCACAAAACTGTAATTAATCTAGTAACAATAGATTTGCAAATGTCCCATAAACTTCACTGTCTGAGGCCATTGTGTCTGACTGTTTAGCTTAGCCTGATGTCTGAGGCCTTCTAAAAGGTGCACCACAGCTTGGGCTGCTTTTTATACAGACATGATGTCTACCAATATGATTTCATTTCAGTATATGTTTACAGGTTCACCTTATACTCAAATAAACAGCTTTAAAAATGTAAATATAAAATACACCAGTTGTAAATAACCATATAACTTGCCAAAATAGAATCTTAAAACAAATAATATGTAATCTGAAAACACTGAACTTTGTCTCCTATGTCTGGTTGCATAAACAGCATGAATGTAGCTTTCTAATACAACACAGAGATATTATTGGTACTTTATCAGTAGAATCCATGTAACCATAACAAAGAAGACCAACATTCTTCACCACTGACTGCCATATTTTGGACTACACAAAAAATCCTACGATTAGCATTCAAACAATCTGATGTCATTGTGTTTGCCACTCAAAAAGCCAGGCACAGAATATTGTTATTCTGGAAAAATCACACAAACCTCTATGTTTCAGCTCTTGGCATTAAAGCTAAAGAAAATTAAGTTTACCCAAATCTTAAAATCGGTTTTATCTGTATTGGAAAACTTTCTTTTTGAGACCATGTCATGTCCTCCTGACTGATCTGTCAATACCACTGTTTGGGAGTTTGATGACTCTAGACGTACTCAGATTATTTTATTACTTTTTTATTTCTTTCTGCATTGACCTTATTTACAGCTGTATACAAAAGTGTGGGTGCCCATGGTCAAATGACATGTTTGGTGATTTTTTAAATGAAAATTAGTTGACACATCCTCTACAGAGAACACACTACTGCACATTCTAATGTACAATTACTGTTTATTTGCTGAATTTAACATACTAGGGAAAAAAATAATAAATAAAAAGTAAAATGTGGCCTGTGCAAAAGGTATGGTATGTTCTATATATGTTTTTTCCCCAATGTCACAAAGGACAGCTCTCACACTGCCCCTCTTAGACATGACATACTAACACACAAATCTGCATCTGACAGCAACAGCCTAACAAACCCCTGGGATTCCATAATGGCTAAGGACAGTTTAGCAACCACCTGAGATACCACAGCAATGGCCCAGTAACACCTTAGCAATCACATAGTATTTCATAACCACAGCTTTGTCAAGCCAACTTAAAGTTTGTTCACTTATTTTTACTTAAAAAAATAACAAAACATAATTTGACCAGAAGGTTTTGAAAGTTTTTCATACAACTTTCTCTACTAATGTACTCATGTATGTTTGGTCTTCTCCATCCTTGTATGTTTACACGTCTATACTATAGATCATGCCAACAGCAAGAAGACAGAGATTGTGTGTAGTAGTAAGACAGACAACAAGTGCTCATGTCTGAGAGCACATACAACACCAAACCACAAATATAAGGACAAGGAAATTGCACAAGCGGTTTTAGCATCATCCACACCCCAGAGACAGGCTTATCCACAATACTCATAGGATACACTGCACACTCCTTTACATGAATGCAAACAGGCAGTCAAAAGAACAGATGTAACTGCCTTGACCCGTATCAATTTCACACTAATTTGTAGCTGCACAGACATAATTCCACTGTATGACTGGTACTGGGTAGTGAATAATCAGTGCTTGAGAACAGGAACTGCTTTCAGAAATCCTTTATAAGTAAGTTACGTAAAGAAACTCGATTCCCAATTGCACATGAGTCAATGAGTTTTCCTTTGAACTTAGTCTTATTTCTTAAACTTGTGCAGGGTCTGGATTTCAGGTAATACACTGCACGTTACTGGAACATCTATTTGAGTCATCACATGTGATAAATTAACTCGTTTAATAATGGGAATTGAGAATGGTATTAATATTATAAGAGACACCTGAAATACCATTTACGGCTGTGCAGGGTTTCTCCTCCAACTCTGCAGAACTACACATTCAACCTTGCCATTGTTCTACTGCAATAGAAAATTGCCCTCTAAAATCTCCAACATTATTAGTGATTTCAAAGTGCACCACTGGGACTTTGCCTTCAGCACTATAATAAGTATTAATATTTCTATTATGAGGTTGATTCTGGATCAGTGCCTCCTCCAACACAGCCATACTGTAACTTCTACATTCTATTCACTTCAAATGCTGTGAGACAACTGAAAGCTTTTAGTGCAAATACGTTGGGTTTATATCTGTATCTGCACATAACTGCATTAGATGTTTAGATTGAACCAATATTTCCAATATTCAATGACGCATTTAATGAACTCTGGAAAAGCAGAATGTTTAGACAATGCTGGGTTACTGCAACGGTCGGGAGTTCAGAGGGAGTATATGTGCAGAAGAGCTTTACTAGGGCAATCCAAATCTTGTAGTCACAACAGACAAGGGTCAGCACACAAGCAGGCATGTACAATCCAGGCAAATCCATACTTATAAAACCAATAACAAGAACAAGGGCCAAAACACAGGAAAAACAAAACAGGAAAAACAGCTAAGAAATGCTCAGGAACACAGTAAGACTTTGCAAATACAAAGCCAAACTGAAAGGGATATATATGAGAATGTTCATGAATCCAGAACTAGCTGCAGGAGTGTGTCAGCGTTAAAGTATCTGCTTTAGTATTCTGTTTGGTTCATTTGCAACCCTATAGAATGTAGTCCCTACACTTTATGAATATCGGCAAATGAAAAATATTTGATTTCTGCATTAGCCCTAAATTCCCATATAGGTGCATCCCTACAAATAACTCTTGCACTCAGAACAACCCATTAAATTCTGGGCTTATTATCCAGAAACGAACCTTAAGACTTACTATGCAGTAACTACTAAGAATTGTTTGGTAATTATTTTGATTTTTATATCATATTCCACGATGAGAATTCACATACCCCCTTAGAGTTTAATAATGACAACAATCAAGTCAGCCACTGCAGCCAATCATAAATATTTTAACTCCAGCAAAATGGGTCATGTGTTTTATCATGTTGCATGTAATTTGGTGGAAACTCATATTAGTGGCAGTCTAGATCTAGTCTCTTACTGTCGGTCTAAACTATTGTTCCCTTTCTTGCTCTCTCATCAGCATGTGCAAAAACTGTTTGGTATATCAGGCAAAAGGACTGAAATGTTGGGAAGTTGACACGCTTGTCCTTTAACTCACATTAGTGATAGCCTCGTTGTTGGCTCCAGCTACGCAGAGATGTCGCACCACCTCCAGTGCCCCGTTACTTGCTGCCACGTGGAGAGGCGTTCTCCCAAACTGCAACAAAGAAGACAAAACATTAACACTTAAGTTGGATGGTTCACTGTTGATATTTTACAGATTGTTAACTTTTTGCTTAATTACTTTTAACTCTATACAGTGCTGAGCAAAAGGCAACCTGAAAAACATTTAAAGCTGGTTATCTGAGTAATATTTGTTTTTGGTCTGTCAGTATGTTACCTTAATATCATTCCCAAAACTCCCACTGAGGCAGCCCGATATTTGCACTTACCCTCCATTATTTGGTTCAGTTTATCAATCATTCATTAACTTATACCTTAAGTTAAACCACATGTGATGGTAAAGGAACTGAACAAATCCATACAATGGCTGGAATGCAACTAGGAGAAGAGGAATTAAACCTGCGGTATTCTAACCAGTTCATAAATTAGCAAAAACTTCACTGAAAACTAAAAATTCTTTGTTACTTTTTAATGATTGTTAAGGGCCAATTTACTAATGTATTCCTCCATTGCAAAACCTAGTTGGGTATTAAGAAGTGACTGTCACAATATATTGTATAGAAGTAATTTCTTTTTAGCATCAGAACCAAAAGTGTGTCCGCTGCTATTTTGCACCTTTGTCTCATTATTAGGCTGAAATAACTGTACTTTCTTGAAGAGTAATAACTCTACATATCCACATATATTTCCACATATCAAGTCAAAATCTGGAGTTATTATTTCAACGCAAGTCATTATTCCAACTTTCTAAGTCACAGCGAACATAATTCAATATTTTGAGACTGAAACTGAGGAGAAATTAGAAACAGTAATTTTTCCTACTCTGCAAAAGCGGGCTTCCATACACATTCAAAATGAGCAAAACAGTTAAACAGCAAAACAGTTCATTACACACTTGTGTAGACCTTCCGCACAGTACTGCATCTATTACCATCTCCATGATGTTATCCTAAATGTAAAAGTAAATTCTAACTCTATCCTGCTTTTGATTTTTTTTTACCAGATAGTCTGGTAATAATTTGAGCATCTGTAAATCATTTAGAGGACCATCCAAGTAAGACAAAACAAACAGATTCCAAAGTTACAACTTTCCAGACAACACACCATCAATAACAGCTTCTAAAGCACAACGCTGAGGAAAATTCAGACTCCTGAACTTCCAACTTGACAGCTGGAGTGGAAATAAAGAATGTCAGTTTCCGTTTGCGGCTCAGAAGGAACGCTGACGGGATAGTGCAACCCGGCATTAACAACGGTTTGTTCCTCTCAGCCTGTTACGCTTCGAGTGAGAGCCAGCATCCATCTTCTGCCTGCTGGCTAATGGAGGTGCCAGTTCCAATGAGCTTGCGACACACGGCGATAGAACAGAAAGTACATTCACGCTACAGATCAGTACAACACAACTAATGGTCTTAAATCAATGCTAAAGTCTTAGGGAAAAACTGCAGCAAATGCTAAGAGAGCAAGGGTATTTTAAAGTTAGCAAGGACAGATGGCAACTTTAGTTTAATGAGGGTTAAGTGTAGAGAAGGAGAAGTCTAACTGTTTCTTCAACTGGTCCACTGAACCTTTAAGTAAGACAAATTCATGCAGACAAAATGTGGAATTTAAGTCTGACAGATCAGGCAATCCTGTCTAGTTAACTCAAAAAGTCTCAGTTAATGTTGATGTTGCAAAAAGGGTATGGTGCACAGTAACAGTCAAAAGTGTTCTCTTAAAAAGTGTTCGATCCTTTTTTCTCCACACAGTACATAGGGAATTCCACACTTTATAACAACAAATAACAATGGAGATACCTTACATTAACAGAGAAACACACTGTAATTAGGATAATAAAATGATTGTGGCTCTATTTCCAGCTCTGATTTTCACTAAAGTCCCATATAAAAACTACTTATTTAAAACTTATTGTTTTCTGTTTTGGAGATAAATTACATTATTATTTATATTTGTCTTAGGAACAACATTGATACTTTTAAGCATAAGCTAATTAAAAACGTATCTAGAAAAATTAAAAAGCAATCAGATGTATCTAAACGTTTGACTGGTAGTGTAATTACATATTAATTACTTCTCAATCATAGCTCATTGAAGAAAAATGCAGAAATCATATTGTTGTGCATGCAGTCTTGTTTTGTGGAAGGAAAAACAACTCATTAGATGTAAAATATATAATTTGCCATAGTTAAAAGTGGTTAAAAAGCTGCAAGTGCAGCATCAGACCTGTTGATAACAAAGGACTTTAGATGTAAAAATAAGATAAAATGACTACATAACAAACTCACAATTAAATATTTGTGTTTACAATTGTTTGTTGTTCACATACAACTCGATAAAAAGTCCCAGGGAACTCATTTAGTGAAATATTTAAAATATCTGTATGACATAAACTTGGAGAGTTATTTTACACATTAAGTCTGAATGAAAAACTACAGGATAGAAATATGACAATTGCTTATGTAAGCAATGCCCAAGATTATGACTGCTTAACTTCATTAAAGCATCACAAGGAGAGAATTTTGGATAAATACATTGGTCATTTATTGAAGTATTCATTAAGCATACTGTCCACAAGACCAAGATTACCCTAATTAGAAATAAAACAGGGTGTTAGGTTCCCTGGAGCATTAAGTCTTAAGTAAAGGCAAACAAAAATAACTTGCCTTGTTTGGGATGTCCAGGTTGGCCTTAGCAGCACACATCAGTGAGACGACCGGCAAGTTGCCGTCCTTACAGGCGATGTGCAATGGTGTGTTGCCATGGCGATCTTGGTGGTCTACATAACAGTGGTGGCTGAGGAGGCACTTTACCACCTCAAGCTGACACCTCCTCACAGCCAGGTGCAGAGCAATGTGGCCATCCTGTAACACACACGCACATACACAAACAAACACATTAGGTTACTATCCACTGCCACTGAGACAGCTGTTCACAATGCCAGATGTCCAGGTACTGCACACTGTCTAAGGACATTAACTCTGTCTCCAAATTGAAGGAGTTTATTGAGTTTAGAGGAAATGAGGAAATCCTGGAATAAGCAGGCAGGGCTCTTTTCCAGTCATGAGGTAAGTGCCAGATGAGATGTTTGAGCATAACGTACATAACGTGTACAGTAATTAAGTAAGTAATTGCTTTGTTTGGCTATAAACTTGGAGTAGCACCGTGGTTCAGTGCTTTTCTTTTTTGTTATCGTTAGCCATGTAGCATTTAACATGCTAACATGCATGCTAACATAGAAAAATATATTATTAGCAGTCACGTAATAACAGATGGAGTGGTCTGTAACTTAAAGCCCAGCAACTTGAATGTTACAGTTTTGAAATGTTAAACATTTTAAAGTAGTTTATTGCTACAACTTGTAAACAACTTTGTCTGCCATTATTTTGAAGACTGAAAAGGCAAATTAGTCTGAGCAGGTTCTGCTGCAGAAGTCAATGCTGGTGTTCACTCGATCACACATCCTAAACACAGTTTAACAGTTTTTCTTTTATTGCTGTCACTGCTGTCTTTATGACTTGGGCTGTCAGTATTTTTGTGCAGTCAGCTAATACAGATATTGATATATACATATATAGTACTTGGCCAATAAAGATTTTGATAATGAGTAAGATTACTGAAAACAAATATAATCTCAAACAAACAGACAACCAGGCGCGTTGAGAGCTGCAATGTGTTGTGCGAGGGCGCAGCCTGCTTTCAACTCTTAAGCATCTTAATGTCAAACAGCACACCTACACACTTTACAAAATGCTTAACTTCACAGTGCAACCAAATTAAACACTGCATTCGGAAGAATTTTCTCTTTTATGTGAGGGTCATTCACATTCTGACGTTTCTGAGCATCCATATTGGTAGCATGTTTAAATGTCGGTCCGTGTATTCAACATTGCAAATATGTGGCTAAACCCATGGTGATCTATGGGACTTTACATTTCTGTGCTACTGAACAAAAATCTACAGCCTACAGCTGTGAAAACAGGCATTTAATTAAAAAACCAGCGACATTACTGACGTCTATTGACGCAGTGACCTTTGATTGGTCCAATTTTGACGCAGATCAGTCAATTTAATTTCTGTATTTTGATGGACATGAAAACTGATTCAAACATTTGTTTTCTTTGTTGCTAATTTTATCAAAGTATATTACCACAACAAACTACACATATGTCCTTTTTCCTGTTTTCTTTTTCACTCTAAACACCAAAGACCTGTATGTGGATGCACATTTCAATTCTTCACTCTTATAACTACATAACTTGTATCAGTTTCATAGTAAATAGTACATAACTCATAGTAGTTACTGAATAAGTCTTAAGATCTGTAACTGAACAGCAAAGCTGGAGCTCAAGGGATTAAATTTGTTTAAACAAGACTTGTTATTTGCACTAAAAGCTTTGAATTGTTTCAGTGTATGAATTTTCTGACAGTGTGTGTAATGGATAAAAGGCAGATATTTTTGTGCAGGATTCCTTTAAGCCAGCGCACTTGGAGCTAAGGCAGTGGTTCAGTTTTAACCTCATAATAGCAGCATAAAACCTATAACGGTCCTGAGGACAAAGTCTGGATAATAAGGGATTAAAACAGCACTCCTACGCAGAAGTGCTTTCAAAATATGGTCCAGAAAGGGTGTTCACCTTGTCTGTGGAGTCCATGTCAGCCCCGTGTTCTAGCAGGCACTCAACAATGTCTCTAAAGCCACGGGCCGAGGCGGTCAGCAGTGAGCTCTCGCCTTCACGGTTTCGGGCGTTTACGTCACAGCCGGCCTCACACAGTGCCCGGGCCACAGCCGAGTAACCGTGCCATGCAGCGCAGTGCAGAGGAGTCTCATGCTCCTGCAGGATGGAGAGAAAGAGACAGAAACAGTTAAGAAGTATGGAAAAAAAAAGCATTGTTACTGGTAATACTGCAACTGTTAGAAGTTGGAAACCATACAGTTTCTTTTAAATGGACGGTGCAAAATATCAACCTTGTACAATTTTCGCCAAAATCTAGCTAATTAGCCAAGCCATCAAGACAACAGTGATTTCATAATGGGCTGTTTTTGCAGCTTAGTTTCCAAATATGGACTGTATGGACGGGGGTGAAAGATATGTTTTGAAACTATAACAATGTTTGTATACTACATCAAACTGTTATTTCATAAAAGTAAGGAAAATTTAGCTGTCAATGAAACGGCCCTTTAAGTCATCTCAAACTGACTTGCTTATGCAGTTTAAGACACTGTATGCCATGAAGAATACTTCTGCCAAAAAACTGATGTGCCGTGTATGGGGCATTTAGCACAAAACTAATGGGCACAAATGGGTGATAAAGAACCAATATAAAGTGCCTTACTAAGGTGCTGGACCACCACAAGGTGCCAGAACAGCTTCAAAGCACCTTTCCACAGATTCTACAAGTCTCAGGAACTGCACTAGAGGGATAAAACACTATTCTTCCAAAAGATATTCCCTTATTTAGTGTTTTGATGATGGTGGTGGAAAGCGCTGTCTAACGTGTCAGTCCAAAATCTCTCACAGGTGTTCAACTGGGTAGACTTTTGGTGACTTTGAAGACCATAGCATGACCTACAACATTTTCATAATCCTCAAACTTTTCAGTGACCCCTTGTGCCCTGTGTGTATGGGGCATTGTCATCCTGAAAGAGACCACTCCCATCAAGATAGAAATGTTTCATCATAGGATAGAGATGGTCAGTCAGAATAACTTTACACTGGTTCGCAGTAACCCTTTCCTCTAAGGGGACAAGTGGACCCAAACCATACAAGCAAAATGACCCCCACAGCACAACAGAGCCAACAGACACCCTCCAAGTTGGGGTCAAGCATTTAGGCCTGTACCATTTTCTAAGTGTATGTGTAAATGCACTCGCCCACTTGTGGAGAATATGGTGACGAATGACTATATCACTTTTTCCACATCTCTGTAGATCAGTGTCTATGGTTTCTGCACCAGTGGACTCTCAAATGTGCACTCATCTTCACCCCTCTCTATGTAGTTGAGGATTGACTGGTCTTGCTGACAATCTGTCCTGCGCAGACATTCTTAGTTACCTGAAAAACAGTTGTTCTTCTGTTTTTCCTTACATATTGCATGAGCATCACTCACTGAATGTGCGCTTTTAACTACAATTTTTGCCCTACAATTTCCCAGCATTATTAAAAAAAACGTCCTTAATAAAGTTGTTACTGAGTGTTTTGAGTGCTTGCCAAGTAAAGCAGAAGAATGATGAGGCCTCTGACACTTAGTGCACCATCGCCATGGTAGCCAGTGCAAAATCAATCACTACTTTTCTAGCTTTCAGCTTTATCAAACTCGATCAAGCATAAAAATGCAATTAATGACTGCTCCTTGCAGTGGATTCTGCAAACAGAGCTAATCTAAATCGGTATAACTAGACCAAGCTGTTTCTAAGGAAACTATACACCAAAGTTCAGACACAGCAGTGTTTCCCACACATAGCCTACAGTTGGGTAGCCCCCCAAGTATGTTGACAACCACCCAAGTATATTTTGTCACATTTTAGCAATTTCCAAAATATTTTATATTACTATGAATAAACAAGGGTACACTTTGTGCAACATGAGATGCAATACCAGCTGCTTGCATTTCAGCACTTCTTTGGTCTAGTGCTACACACTCAGTAGTAAATTCACATTACAAAACTACACAGTATTAAAAAACAGATTTTATTCCAAACTGTACATGATTCATTAAGTAAAAAGAATGGTGAGTTTGGATAAGCATAAATATTTGAACATCCCCATACAATGCCCCCTGTGGGAAACTGTGGTGGACATACTGAAACTCTTTTCATGTACATACTTATTGTTAAACTAATCTATTAGTTATTTCACACTTCAGATTTAAAGGTGACTTCAGCTTTGGTTATTTCATAGAATTCTACAATAAGTTGCTGCTACAGAACATGCTCTCATTCTAAATGAGTCAACGTGTGTGTGTGCTCACGTTACATACCCGGTCTGTCAGGTCAGGGTTGGCGTGAATACTGCAAAGGTACTGGACCACGTCCACATTGCCATAGCGAGCAGCCACATGCAGAGCCGTCTCACCTGACTAGAACACAAAGAAAACATAAGGAAAACCATTAGCATGGTTAAGCATGGTTATATATATAACTACGGCATTTGGACTGTTGAAATGCTTCAATACAGACAAATTCACAGAAGGTGATAATGAGTGACCTTTTAATCTCATCCTTAGCTATAAAATCCCAATATCTTGTCCTAACAGGAGGTGAGCATTCCAACATAGCACTGCATCATGTCCCAAACTCTTGCATACGACTGTGTATTATATATTTTTACATATATTTTTACAAACTAACATACATTATCAGTGCATTAACCAACTTACCTGGCTAACATTAGCCCTGGCTAATATATTTGTTCATTATAAATTTAAAAAAAAAAAGGTCGAGCTCCTTTCCTTTTCTCTACCTCATAGAAAAGTTTCTCCTCATCCATTTTTGTTGAGGTGGAACCTCAGCGCAATGTGACACATCAGAATAGAAACAGAACAACTGCCAAAAACGACACATTGCACTGTGCCGCATCGCTCTCTGACGCTCACTGCTGGTGTTAACAGGCTCGCTTATTATAATAGGAATGTTAGCGTTCTGGTTTTGACGTTGCTCGCTAGCTGCGCTTGCAGTCAGGACAAGGTATAAGATGATGTATATATGTATATAAATAGGTATAAGTCACCATATGTACATCATATCAACATAATCTGCTATCTGAACAGATGTAATTCAAGATATTGTTGGACAGAACTTGTTTTTTATTATTCCTTGAATTTTAATGGATAATAACACCTTACATCTTCGGAAAAACATCTAATTAAATTTTATTCAAACTAAGGTGACTGAACATCTAAGAATGAGTCGATGCAGCTCGAAAACAATCTGATTGAGGCTTTAAACTCTTTTCATGGAGAAATTTCGAGGTTACATGGCCATGTCGGCTGTCTGAGCATTATACAGCAACCTTTTCAACGGCACTTCAAAAGTAAAGGCCACATATGGCAATTCATCATCAGACAACCTGCGCTTCAAGCTTCAGCCTGGCACTTTTCCATCAGCTGCATAAACAGTAAACACGAATGGTGTGATAATAACAACTTAGCATGGCTACTTCAGCCATGCTCCTGTGAGTTGAACAGACAGCCTCTCTCTACCACGTAGGCCACTCAATTTCCACCCAAAACAAAGTAACCCACACTCATGAGCATGGCTGTGTGGTGCTACAGAAACTCAGCGGCTCTCCATGCTGCAATTTGGGCTCGCTCTCGAGTCTGGAGAGGCAGCCCTGTAAACACGGGGCGATTATTTCATACGCTGGGCAGATCTCGGACGAGTAACCATGGCAACTGCAAATAACCCAAAGACAGCAGAGAGGAGGGCGAGCTCGGAGCGAGAGGTCTTTAGATGAAAAGGTGTGAGACAGAGGAAATGGAGAGGAAAAAAAAACAACCTCAAACGTAGCCTCTCCCAGAAGAGTTATGAGTTGTGATTATAGTGTGTGTGTGAGCGCGAGAGAGAGAGAGACTGAGGCACCTTATCTTGGATATCCAGAGGGCACTTCTTTTCATGGAGAAATTTCAATGTCTCCACATGGCCATGGCGGGAGGCGTAGTAGATAGCGTTAGCTCCAGACTGTGAAACAGAGAATGAAACTGTGTGTTGTTTCGGCATTTTCAAAGTCAAATCGCCATCATGCTCACTGCTACACATTTTTGCAGTAAAATCTTGACCTTTTGACTACTGCACTACATACGGTGGTCTGTCTCAATCCTCATCCAGGAGTAGTCCAGGGGTCTGTCTCATGAAGCAGGACTTGCGGCTTAGCCGACTAACTTTTAGCTTAGTTCGATCTAACCCTGGATGTTCTGTCTCACAACAATGAGTCACTTTTTACCAGTATATATTGCCAAGACAACTTATGCTGCATGGCTTACCTGCTTTAGGGCAGGCTGAGTTCAGGATTTTGGGTCATAAACAGCAGCTGGACAAATCAGAATAAGCTTCTGAACAATCAGGGACTGAAGGACATGAATCTCTCAAGGGGATTTTTTCTTCGAGACGTTTGTGGCCTCAATTATGTGAAGAACTTCACTTCTTAGCAGAGGAAGCAAAACCACACTTCATAGTTGTTGAGAATATAAAGCAATTACTACTCCAGTAAGCACTAACACTAACAGTGCTGTTATCTTAACACAGCTTTACTGTTCTAAATATTTTACTTTCTACATATTTACGTAAATTCCTTCTTCATTCTTTGGGGGGTGAAGGCACTAGACTCCTTATGTTTCATACAGTTGGCAGTTCGACATTTCATGTACAAGCACACACGGCTTAATTGTAATTTGATTATTTAAGCCTGGGTTATTAAAGAAAGGTGTTAACTGTTGTCAAGAAATCAATTCTATCAACAAAAAACAACACTGTTAACGCTGTTACAGTGGCAAGAGTTCCTTTTTTGCCATTATAATTGTTTTATATTTGCCATATTTACTTTAGATGATTTTTTATTTCTGAAAAGTAGACAGTGGACTTCTCTTCATGTTTCTCGTGAATGACTGTTCACCATAAACGTCATGCTTTCGTGTGCACATGCATGAGGATTAATCTTAGAGTATCTAAACCTGTGTTAAATAAGAAAGTTGTTAACTACTGTCATAAAACAAATTAACCACGGCTAAAACTTGCTAAATGTGCTTCATGAGACAGACCCCTATTAATAAGCTCTTCCTGAGAAAAAATGAGAGTTAAGAACAGGGAAAAAACTAAAAGCAGCAGTACATTGGTATAAAAGTGTAAAGTATAAAATATGACATTGTCCTATGATACAAATCTTGTAATACTGTAGATGCTATGAACCCCAAAACACTAAACTGCCCCTTCCCCCAAAACAAATTATACACAAACAGCTTAAAAACTTCTTACAACCACGCCCACCCCCCACCCCCCCACCCACCAAAAAAAAACAAAAAAAAAAAAACACAATTTAAACATTTACCCAACAGTGTTAGTGCTAGGTCTGCAAAATCAACCATTTTTATTGTTATTGCCATATTACCACAATATTCCTCACATTATTAAGGGCTACTGTGACAGACTGGATTAAATTACAATACAGGTGCACAGTGCGAGAGTGAGAGTGAGTAATTAGATTGGGGGGATGTTGTGTTAGAAGCTGTGTCTAATATTAGAGCAGTGGTGTGCTCCCCTCAGCAGGGCTCTAACCCTGCTCTACTGTGTGCAGAGTGAATGATTTAACCACTGCTACAGAGCCAGTTACAAGGTACACTAAAAAGCACAGCTAGAAACATATTCGACCCTTGAGTACTAGTTATGTACAAATTCTTTAAATGTGATGTGTGTTCAATGTGTGAAGTAGTAATGGCTACTGTTACAACAACCGTGCATCACCATAAGCAATCAATATATATATATATATATATATATATATATATATATATATATATATATATATATATGTGTGTGTATATAGACACACACACACTACAGGAGAAGGAAAAAACCTTCTTTACTTTCAATGTAACACAACCAGACTTTTTTCCAAATCATTTTGGTCCATTCATTATGAAATTTACACACAATGTACAGGCCAACGGGCACTTCCAAAGTACGTTTTTTTCCAGAGAGTAGCGAGATTACATGTGTGTGTGTGTATATATATATATATATATATATATATATATATATATATATATATATATATATATATACACATACATATATATATATATATATATATACACACACACATACATATATATATACACCTCACGATTCGATTACGATTCAGAGGGCTGCGATTATAAAACAATTATCGATGCATCTCGATGTATTTTTTTTTTATATAGCATTTATATTTTCTCACTGTGTGAGCTCAAGTTTCAAGTTCAAGTTTCAAGTTTATTTGTCATTTGCACAACATGTCAGGACATTTATGCATTGAAATGCTTGTGGTGAGGCTCAGCTAATCACTCTACAGAAAGTAAATAAGTAAAAATAAAAATAAGAAAAGCCAACTGAAATATGTTAAATACACACAAAAAATATACACAATATACACAGAATATAGAGACAATATACATTTTAAAGTGACTAAGTGACTCTGTGTTATTGTTATTTAAAGTGACTTGGTACTTTTAAAGCAAAGTATTTGTAATGATCCATAATTAATTTACTTCCAATATCTTTTATCAATAAAACAAACAGAAGTGATGTGGCAAGTGAACTAGAAGGCTCTCATTCAGTGCCTTTGTTTGGAGCACGAGAAGCTGCTGCTACTCATCTGCGATAAAATGCACAGTTACGGTGAAATAAGATTCAGTGGTAGTGGATGTCCACGCAGCACGTTACAGCTATTCTACCCGTTTTCTTTAGTGATTTTATAACTTCGGTTTTGGTCTCGTTGTAGAGACGGGGGGGGGGATCGCTGTGTCAGTAAAGTATCCCTCAGACGGGACGTGTGAAACATAGCGCGAAAGCCCTGTTTCGGCGTGCAGACTGCAGGTCACATAGCTGCAATGCGTTATTCCCATTTATAAGCACTGCAGTTGGTTTCCTGGTACATTAAATCTGCAACGAAAGACTGTCAAACACTAAAAAGTGGCAAAGATGAAGTCAGCTTCTCTTTCGAATTCTCTCGTTCCACCTTAAATGGTGCCGCACTTACATTCGGCGCCTAAGGCAGAATTTAAGGTGGAAAGGGTAAATTCGAACAAGAAGCTGGAGAATGAGAAGCGACTTCAGCCTCGTAAAACAGTCGTTGAGAGACATTTTACAAGAAACTGATCTACTTCTGAGGAAAAGTTTTCTGGTGGAGATGGGAGGAAAGCGGCTGTAGCTAAAGTCCATGTTTACGTTTATATTGTTTAGCCTATACTAGGACATTATAACATACTGAGACATACTGGACATTAAATGTTGCGGCTCCCAAGGTGGTTTGATTTTTGTTGAAAGGACAAAATGGCTCTTCTTAACATTTGGGTTGTGACTCCTGACCTAACCTGGCTTTTAATGCAGAGGGAGCCGGTCGGATTTCTCGTTCATCCAGTAGTGTTTCTGTTATGTGCTGCCACAGACTGTCTGGGCGCTGCACTTCCGCACTTCCAAGTTCCGCCTTTCGCGTTCCGTCAACATTACGTTAATATTAAATATTTAGAAAATCGATTTTTGACATTTGTGAATCGATTCAGAATCGTTCACGTCCGCATCGTGTTGCATCTGAGAATCAATTTTTTCCCGCACCCCAATATATATATATATATATATATATATACATACATACATACACACACACACACAAACACACAGCTTCTCATATCATCACTGTGATATCCAACACCTAGGTCTGTCATATTTATTATATAATTGCCTAATCACATGATTGCAATTTAAGATGATCGCATTTATTATTTCAGCTGATTGCAATAATTGTCCACTGTTAGGGAAGGGGACACTCACTGCATTGCATTTAAGACTGTAGAGATTTTTGATACAATTCAAAAAAGGCACCTTGTCAAGAGCTTGTATCTCCGCTCCTTTTCTCATCAACACATCGATGATCTGGACGTTTCCACAGCCAGCTGCAATGAGGAGTGGGGGCGTTCCATGCTGTGAGATAGAGATAGAGGAAGAACAAGAGAGAGAGAGAGAGATAGAGAGAGAGATGCGTAGAAAATTAGCATGGCTTTATTCATCACCAGTGGCTCTTCATAGCAGGACAGGTATTACACAGTGTGTTTAATTGGGCTGATAAATCAAAGTCAGTTTTAAAGTTTTGTGATTTGAATGAGCCCTGATTCATTCTACGCTGCTTGTGCTGTGGTTTTAATTGGCTGACGGCATGTTTTCCACTGATCTCTGTGGTAGATTAAACGCTCTCAGAGACACTGGCGATTACAGGCATTTATACAGAACTGGAGGAGACTCTTCAGCATGCATAAATGCATGAGCCGTGGGAATGCTCCTTGAAGCGCATATTAAAAAACCACACATACGCACAGCTGGACAGCTCCAAGCAAGGCAATCAACAGCGCTCCTCTATTCTCACTCTGTTGAACAGATTTCTCTTGCCCTCATACTCTCTTCTTTCTCCTTAAGCCAAACAAAATCACCTCTACTGGTTCTTAACAGATCCTTTCTACCCCAAAACACACGCAAACACAGACATGTGCACACGCATCTTTAATTAGGAAGCTAGAGCCTCACATCTTGGTCCAAACCTGAAAATAGCCTGACCCACAGTATAGAAATTTTGCCTGAATTCAAGTACAGTCTGACCAAATTATGTCTGTATCCAATAATGAATCTGACTGTGGCCCTACAAAATTCTGTCTGAACCAGATTATGATCTGACTAAATTCTGTCTGAATCCGGCTGTATAGTGCTGTGAAAAAGTATTTGCCCTTTTCCAGTTTCTTCTATTTTTTGCATATTTGTCACACTTGAATGTTTCAGATCATCAAACTACTTTGAATATTAGACAAAGATAACCCACATAAACAGAAAATGCTGTTTTAAATGACAATTTCATTTATTGCGTGGAGATCCTTTTTTTAAGGAAAAAGGCTGTTCTGCCCTACCTGGCCCTGTGTGAATTAACCAAATTCAACTGATCATTGGGTTAAATTTCACTAGCCACAACACCCAGATGAACATCCATAGAACTGCAGACCTCATTTGCCCCAGTTAAGGTCAATAAACATGATTACACAATAAGAAATACTCTGGGCAAAAATGGCATTCATGGGGGAGTTGCAGGGCACAAACTACCGCTGACCAAAAAAGAACACAAAGGCTCGCCTCGCATTTGCCAAAAAACATCTAGATGACCCCCAAGACTTTCGGGATAATATTCTGTGGAATAATGAGTCAAAAGTGGAACTGAAAGACATGGGTCCCGTTACATCTGGCATAAAGCTAACATCGCATTCCGCCATGAGAACATTATACCAACAGTCAAACATGATGGTGGCAATGTGATGGTCTGGGGCTGCTTTGCTTCTAAAGGACCTGGATGATGTGTCATCATTGACAAAATTGTGTCTGAGCTTCATAAGTGAGTTTAGACAGAATTTGGTGGGCTCTGGCGATCTTACTAAATTCTGTCGGAACTTGACTGTAACCCAACAAAATTGTATCTAACGTTGACACTATCCCAACAAAATTTGTCCAAACCTGAAGCCTACAGCCTGAGAACATTCTCCGTCCAACCTGACCCACAGCATAGAAACAAATCCGACAAAATTTTGCCTGAATCCAAGTACAGTCTAACCAAATTCTGTGTATGTTCAATTATGATCTGACTATACTGAATCTGACTGTAGACAAAATTCTGTCTGAACCTGATTATGATCTGACTAAATTCTGTCTGAACCTGATCATGATCTGACTAAATTCTGTCTGAACCTGATTATGATCTGACTAAATCCTATCTGAACATGATTATGATCTAACTAAATCCTGTCTGAACCCGATTATGATCTGACTAAATCCTATCTGAACCCGATTATGATCTGACTAAATCCTGTCTGAACCCGATTATGATCTGACTAAATCCTGTCTGAACCTGACTGTAGCTTAACAAAATTCTGTCTGAACCCATCGTACTCCAACAAAATTCTGTTTGAACCGACGTCCAAAAAAAAAATAAAAAATTTGGTCTGTACTCAACTGTAACCCAACCAAATTCTGTCTGAACGTGATTATGATCTGACCAAATTTTGTCTGAATCTGACTGTACTTCAGCCCCAACCAGAATAAAACAAAATCCTAAAGACAGCTTCTTTAAAATGAGATCATAGTGAAAAATTACCAGCTCATCAACTAATAATAAAAGTGAATGGTCTAATTACCAACAATTCAAAATGAATTTTCCAAAAAAATAATTCAGAGGTGGAGATGTAAACATGGTCCATCCAGAGTGGTTTGATGTGAAATGATTCATTACTATAATTTCTTTACAGTGGTGTTGATAGGAACCAGGGGTTGCAACGTCTACAACACAAATATAGCCATTTTATTGTTTTATTTTTATTTTGAAATTTATTTTATTATGAAACTACAGGTGTTTTTATGTAACACTGAAGATGATAAAATAGGGGTAGATCTGGAAAAAATGTTTCTTGCCTTACAACACCCTGCATGTACCACTTAAAAAAGTTTTAGGTCAAAACTTTCTCAAAACCTTCCTAAAAGAACATCTCAGACATCAGGTGGCATATTCATAACCATTTAATGTGACAACATTCTGCGAGGGATATTTTAGAGGCTTCAGAAGTCTGGTTCCCATCACCACCACTGTAAACAACAAACTCAAAAAGTTTCTCTAGAATCAAGCTGTCCATACTAACTGACTCTGAGTGACTTTGTTTACAGCTATTTCATTATGTGGAAATTTTGAAAATCAAAATTTCCCTTTAAGCCTGACAAATATTTGAGAAATGTATGAATCTGAGCAAACGTGACATGAATAGTTGAGCCCTGTCAGGTCTGCACAAATATTTCAAGGTCCAGCACGCACACACACACACACACACACACACACACACGCACAAGAGACGAATAATATAATTATTAACACCAAACCACATTCCAACTCCACTCAAAACTCCTATTACATTGCAACTGCAATCCAGTCAAAAACACTGAAAACTCAACTGGATAACAGAAGAGTTCAGTAAGCCTCTCCTGGTCAGACACCTGAAATATCAACATGAGGCTTCAAAGAGACAATGAAAAACCTGTGTCTTGACTTCCACGTCATAGGACACGCACACCCAGACACTTATCGGCTAGTCAATCGAGCCTTGACCACTGGCCTATCTGGATCTAGGCCAGGTAGTTACTTAAGGATTCCTGACTAGGCTGCTCACACTGAGGTTCAGTACTACGGCTATCACTTTTTCAGTCTTTCTCTGCCTCTATTAGGTTCTCTCACCTTGTTGGGCTGGTTGATGTCATAGCTGGTCAGAGAACCCAGGAGGTGCTTCAGACCCGGAACATTGTCATCATTGATGGCATGGATGATGGCCTTCATCACAAATGAGTCTTCCTCATCCTGTAGGAGTGCAAAATCAATAGATGTGACTTGACAATCACATTTTGTAAGGGATTCCTCACTAGTTTTAGACTCATGACAAATTATTTCACTAAAATTATAAATAGAAGTTAATAAAGTAGTTGAAACACACAAGAGATGTCTCAATCTGAAAAATCAGTATTGGAGATGACTGAAGGCATATTTTAATGGACTGGTATTAGCTATATTAAGCCCATTAATTCCCATTCTTCGTGAAGATTATTTTACCATTCTTCATTCTTTTTATGCCACTAAGAGGTGGCTTAAACAGTCAATGTCTACAACTGTAGCATGGAACCATTTTAAAGTGGTAAAGTATGCTTTACACTTAAGAGTCTATTTTTTGGCACTAGCAGCAAGCAGCATTCCACCAGAGGCATGTACAAAAAACACTCCCACATTTTTTTGCATTTGGTGTAAAAACAAAAGTGTTGCATAAATATTCTACTTTTTTGGCCGTTCTGGTCTTAAAAAAGGCACTAGCAGTGACTGCATGTTCAAAGTTGAGACAGAGGAGCAGGCAATATAATTTTATGTCACAAAACTAAATGAATTTACTGTCGCACTCTAGCATATCTTACCTAAACTGTGTGGCTATAATATCTGTGAAAAACACAAGTAGTGGGTTGGTGCAAGCCAATACTCACCATTGCTCAAAAGTTCTTGCCTCAGATTAGGGGCAAAAACTGGACTGGGACATTCTAACTATTAATCAGTCTCTGCACTGGCAGTTACTCAGTGATGAAATACTTGAATCAAAATTTGGTTCTGTGCACCTCAATTAAAACATTCACAGCAAAGAAGTTAATAAGACCAACATTATCTGATTGAATATATAAAACAATACAACAGTATCAATCACCATGGCTTTACTAAAATGACAGGATTTGTCATTTGTGAGAGCATTATGGGTAGAAAACAATGCCAAATCGCCTTTGACAATTACAGTTTGGCCAAATCCTGTTCCACTCTGTCATGAAGTGTTCGGCCTACTAACCAAACAAGCGGCATGCTATCCTAATCCTATTAAATAATGTGTGTGTGTTTGGAGGGGGGGTTGGTTCTGGGTTTGTGGATGGTTACAGCACCATGTGAGGTCATAACCTTCAAACACAGGCTGATAGCCCTGACATGCAGACCAGAGAGCGTGAGCGAGGGAGAGAGACAGAGAGAAAGAAGCAGAGTGAAAAACAGAGTGAGGAGGGTGTGTGTGTGTGTGCGCAGTCATGCAGACACTACTGCATTCCACAGTTCAGAAGGGTGTGCTGAACCAAATGCACAGCAGACACACAAACACATAACATTACTATCTTTATGGGGGCACAACTTTAACAGTTGATGTCATCATGGTTGGGTTAAAAGAAAGAGAAAGCCCAGTCCTTCATGAGCAAGACTAGGTCGAGGCTCACCACATCACCCAACAATGCATTACTGAATGATCCACCAGTTTAACAATATCTCAATTCTCAATAAGCGACTGCAAGTGTTTTAGGTATTTCACCCTCTACTGTGCGTGTCATCATCAAAAGATTCAGACAATCCAGCGAAAGACTGCAAACCACAACTGAATGCATGTGACCTTTGACCCCTCAGATGGTACTGCATTAAAAACCAGCATGCTTCTATGATGGATGCATGGGCTCATCCATCATCCAATTAACACTGTTCACTGACGTCATCACAAATGTAAGTAAAGACTGCAATATGCACAGTGGAGGCCATATGTCGACAACATACAGAAACACAGCTGAATTCTCTGAGATCTAAATCGTCTAAAATGAACTGATGCACAGTGGAAATGTTTATTGTGGTCTAATGAGTCAAACTTTTAGATTTATGATTACTTAGATTATTATATTTGATTATTATATATACATAATTATTATATTAGACTATTTATGGGAATAGTGGATATCATGTTCTCCAAGGCAAGGAAGAAAAGACCATCCAGGCTGTTCAAGTGTAAAGCTCAAAATCCAGGGGCTACCATGTTATGGAGTGTATTTCAGCCCATGTTAACTTGCACATCTGTGAAGGCACCATTAATGATGAAAGACATATATACATTTTGGAGCAGCATATGCTGAATTCCGGATGCCATCTTTTTTTAGTGATGCTCATGCTTATTTCAGCATGGCAATGGCAAGCCACATTCTGCAAAAACCCTCCATGAAAAACGGACACAGAAGATCGTGTACCCTGCCAGGGAGAGGGTCACCGGGACCTACCCCTGGAGCCAGGCCTGGGGGTAGCGTCCCTCGGCGAGCACCTGGTGGCCGGGCAGCCCACGTAACCCGGCCGGGCTCAGCCCGAAGAGGCAACGTGGGGGGACCATGTGGGCCCACCACCCACAAGGTCCAGCATGGGGGAGTGGTGCAGTGCTATACAGGCAGTGGGAGATTGCAGGGGGGCCCTTGGTGGCCTAGGCCCCTGCGGCAGAAACTGGCTCTTGGTACGTGGAATGTAATTTCACTGGGGGGGGAAGGAGCCGGAGCTTGTGCAGGAGGTTGAGAGGTACCAACTAGATATAGTCGGGCTCACCTCCACCCACAGCGTTGGCTCTGGAACCAAACTCCTGGATAGGGGTTGGTCCCTCTCCTACTCCGGGGTTGCACAAGGTGAGAGGCGCCGGGCGGGTGTGGGGATACTCATGTGTCCCCGGCTGGCGGCAGTGCAGTTGGAGTTTGTCCCGGTGGATGAGAGGGTCGCCTCAATGCGTATTAAAATTGCAGAGAGGAAAACTCTGACCGTTGTGTGTGCTTATGCACCAAACAACAGGTCGGAGTATTCGGCCTTCTTGGAGCAAGTGGGAGGGTTCTGGAAAGGGCCCCGCCTACAGACTCCATAGTCTTACTGGGAGACTTCAATGCTCATGTTGGCAATGACTGGGAGACCTGGAGAGGCGTGATTGGGAAGAACGGCCTGCCCGATCTAAACCCGAAGGGTAAATTGTTATTGGACTTCTGTGCCAGGCATGGATTGTCCATAATGAACACCAAGTTCGAACGCAAGGATGTTCATGGTAGTGTACATGGTACCAGAGCTCCTTGGGTTAAAGGTCAATGATTGACTTTGTTGTCGTTTCATCTGACTTGGGACCATATGTTCTGGACACTTGGGTGAAGAGAGGTCCTGAGCTGTCAACTGATCACCAACTGGTGGTAAATTGGATCAGATGGCAGGGAAGACTGAGGGTTAGACCCGCTAGGCCCAAGCGAATAGTGAGGGTGTGCTGGGAACGACTGTCGGAGGCCCCTGTTCGGAATGATTTTAACTCCCACCTCCGGGAGAGCTTTTCTCATGTCCCGGAGGAGGTAGGGGGCATAGAGTCTGAATGGACCCTGTTCAAAACCTCCATTGTGGAAGCTGCCAGGCGTAGCTGTGGCCAAAAGCTTGTTGGTGCCTGTCATGGCGGTAACCCAAGAACCCCCTGGTGGACACCGGTGGTGAGGGAGGCCGTCAAGCTGAAGAAAGAGGCCTTTAGGGACTGGATGGCCTGAAGGACTCCCGATTCAGCAGATAGGTACTGACAGGCAAAAAGGTGGCAGCTGCAATGGTGGGAAAAGCAAAATCCAGGGCGTGGGAGGAGTTTGGTGAAGCCATGGAAAAAGACTTTCGGTCGGCCTCGAGGAGGTTCTGGACAACTGCCCGGCGACTCAGGAGCGGTCGGGGTGGCTGCGCCCAAGCTGTATTCGGCAAGGGTCGAGAAACTCTGACTTCAAATGAGGATATTGTCGGTCGGTGGAAAGAGCACTTTGAGGAACTCCTTAATCCGGGAGACAGGCCTCCCTCACAGGAGTCAGGGCCAGAGGCCTCTGGCGTGTCAAGCTCCATTTCCCTGGTGGAGGTCACTGAGGTAGTTGGCAAGCTCTTCAGTGGCAAGGCACCGGGGGTGGATGAGATTCGTCCGGAGATGCTTAAGGCTCTGGATATTGTGGGGCTGTCGTGGCTGACACGCCTCTGCAATAGTGCATGGACCTCGGGAACAGTACCCTTGGACTGGCAGACCGGGGTGGTGGTCCCTATTTTCAAGAAAGGGGACCGGAGGGTGTGTGCCAACTATCCGGGTATCACTCTGCTCAGCCTCCCTGGGAAAGTCTATGCCAAGGTGCTGGAAAGGAGACTTCGACCGATAGTTGAACCTCAGATTGAGGAGGAACAATGCGGATTTCTTCCTGGCCGTGGAACAATGGACCAGCTTTTCACCCTCTCACGGATTGTTGAGGGGGCATGGGAGTTTGCCAACCCGGTCTACATGTGTTTTGTGGATTTGGAGAAGGCTTACGACCGTGTTCCCCGAGATATCTTGTGGGAGGTCCTCCGGGAGTATGGGGTGCCGGGGTTACCACTGCGGTTGGTATGCGGATCAGCACCTCCAAGTCTGAGTCCATGGTCTTAGCCCGGAAAAGGATGGCATGCCCACTCCAGGTAAGGGGAAAGGACTTGCCCCAGGTGGAGGAGTTTAAGTATCTCGGGGTCTTGTTCACGAGTGATGGGAAGAGGGATCGTGAGATAGATTGCAGGCTGGGACAGGCGGTAGCAGTAATGCAGCCGCTGTACTGGACTGTAGTGGTGAAGAGGGAGCTGAGCCATAAGGCGAAGCTCTCTGTTTACCGATCGGTCTACATCCCAACCCTCACCTATGGTCATGAGCTGTGGGTAATGACCGAAAGAATGAGATCGCGAATACAAGCGGCGGAAATGAGCTTTCTTCGCAGGGTGGCGGGCTACACTCTATTTGATAGGGTGAGGAGCTCGGCCATCCGGGAGGAGCTCGCAGTAGAGCCGCTACTCCTCCGCATTGAGAGGAGCCAGTTGAGGTGGTTCGGGCATCTGATCCGGATGCCCCCTGGACGCCTCCCGGTGGGGGTGTAACAGGCATGGCCTACCGGAATAAGACCCCGGGGTCGTCCTAGGACCCGCTGAAGGGATTGTATCTCCAAGTTAGCCTGGGAGCGGCTTGGGGTCCCCGGGAATGAGCTGGAGGAAGTTGCGGGGGACAGGGTCATCTGGGATTCTCTGCTCTTCCAACTGCTACCGCGACCCTATCTGGACTAAGCGGTTAACAATGATGACGATGATGATGATTCTGCACGTGTTACAGCAGCATGTCGGCATAATCAAAGAGTATGGATGCTAGACTGGCCTGCCTGCAGTTCAGACCTGTCTCTTATTGAAAACTTGTGATGCAATACAATACAAAGTATGACAATGAAGGCCTCGCATGGCTGTTCAGATGGAGACTCATATAATGTAAGAAGGGCAAAAAATCTGCGATCACACCTGGATCAATTGGTGTCTTCAGTCCCCAAATGAACAAATGTTGTTAAAAATAATGGGGGGCAACACAGAGTTAAACATGCTCCTTTGGCACGTGCTGCAGGCAGCTGGAATTAATGTGCATTTCCAAAAAAAAGAAAGAAAAAGAAAACAAACATCAAATATAAATAAAACATTAAATACTGTATTTTGTACTATTTCCAATTTAATCCAGGTCAGACAGAATTTACTAATTCTGGGGAAATGTCCCCACAACATTGGAATCAGGTTTTTCACCATTGTGTGGATGTTTGATCTCTGACAGAGCAAACAGCCACTAGGTCAAATTTCCAAGTAAGACAGATACTGTAACTGGGTTGTGCTAAAACGCCAAACAGAGTGTTACTTGATGACAAAGACGAGTGGAGACACATCAGCTGTTATGTAACCATGAGGACTAGATTTAGCAACCCAAGAAGCCAGCTATTTGCAGCTTCAGCTAACAGCCACACAGATATGGCCATATAATGACTGTGTAATCTTCTCCAGCTTTTTTCAATAATCGGATTGTTGCATGAAACACCTGAATGTAGAAATGCAGATATTATAAAGCATGGTACAGTGAGCAGGATGGGTGTCAGCTTGACAGTAACGACTGCTGACAAATGCCCATTTCCTGCGTGAAACACACCCCCATCCACCCACCCACTCTGCACACAGATGGGTGCACAACCAATACACTCATTTCCAGAAACCGTCTTTGCAGAAACTTGAAGACCGATAGGAGATTCTACACTTCACTGTTTGTTGTAAGAAGAAAATAAATGTATTTAGCCCTTTGTTCTGTTTAAAATCATAACACAAGGGCCGCTGTGCAGGCACTGTCACATTAAAATGTCTCTTTGTAATAGCTAATAGTATTTCAATCTACAAGAACAGGAACAGAAATGACCCAGGGAATTATCAGTGTCCATCCTTTGTGTTGCATCTAAAAATTCTGGAACAGGCTATTCATAAACAAATGTACGAATATGTAAACGAATACAGCCTTTATGAGTTTTAATCGGGCTTTAGACACAAGGCTGTGTTTTGGGTCCCTTGCTGTATTTGTTATATATTAAAGATATGAAAACTGTGATCACAGTTTACTTCCACACGCTGATAATTCTACATTATTGATTTCAGACAGGTTTTCTTTAAATTTAGGCAATACTGAGTCTATTTTATTTGGTTCAAAACCTAAATGACATAACAGCTGCATTAAAGGGTAAGGTAAGGGAGTACATCATTACACCTAGAACATCTGTTAATGGTTTTGGACATGCCTTGGATAACAGTGTAAGTAGAGTAAACATGACAATGAAAGTGCTATTAAAAGTGAATGCTAATACGAAGTTCCCTGCTAGACAGGCACAGTTCTTGAACAGGGATTGTTTGATGATGTTGATATCAAGCCTTGTTAAGTCTCATTCTGATTATGCCAGTGACTTCTGGATGGTTGATATGTCAAAGGTTTGGGCTACTTCTGGGGTTTTAGACTACTTCTGGGGTTACATCTCCAAGACTCCAAGTTTCAAGAACATGACTGGATAACCGTGGAACTTAGAGTAGTTCAGCTAAAGTTACATACAGTCTGAGCTAAAAATGATCCCATCATTCATCACACAAATTCAAGCACCAGATCAAATGAGAACTGCATCTATCTAAATTTCACACAGCTGAAGACTCAACTCGGAGGTAATGACTGTTAAGAGTATTAACTTATTGCTAATTATTAACCAGTGCCAAAGAGGAAGTGATGAGAAATGTGCCATACAAACAGATGAGGAAAAATAATGCAGCTTAAACCCAGTGTAATGTATCAATAATCTTAAAGCAGTCATTTTATATAGTTACAGATAACAGCATGCCACACAGTGTCAGAAACCCCACAGGTAAGTGTATTTGAGATAACTTATTAATCTCATTAGAATTCTTACCAGCGTATCATCACTGCGAGCCACACTGATGTTGCTTCTGGACAGGAAGGAGCGGGAGAGCCGGTTACACAGAGAGATCAGACGCACCGATTGCTGTAAAAAAAAAAAATCATAATATTTGAACAGCGTTCAACATCCTGACTGAGTTTGTAAATCGTCACTTTCCACGCTTGTGATTCGTCTCCCGAAGCATGAAATTGGTACAAATCATAATTGTGTACTGTTGCATTAAATAAGGCATTCCTCGCTTGGAAGCATACCAATTAGCTGTCACTTACAATACAAACACACTTTTCCAACTACTCTGGCAATGACATTTGGTGCCAGAGGGCATTGGAAACAGTAGCAGGACTACTGTCTGGGATAATGAACAGTGGTCACCGATCCAGCTCTTAGAAATATACCCTTCTGTAATATTTAGCTCCAACTAGGGCTGCACAATAGATTGTCTTACTGATATCATATAGGGCTACAGGTTGCAAATGAGCCTCTAACCAATTACAAGAGATTTTACTGTGGGCTGTGAGCATTTTGACCAATTACAGTTCCAGATGAGTGTTTTGATTGTATTGAGGTAATCATGTAATACAAATGTAAAGTCATGAAGCTAAAGTCTATATAGAGTAATTACAATATAAAACCTAAATATAAAATAACTTACTGATATCAAATTCTTTACATATAATTAGTAAAACACAAAAACAAAAAAAAAGTCGTACACATTCAGTAAAAATTTATTTTAATAGCCAATAACGAAATTTTTCTTACATAATTTTAAGATGGAAGACTCCTAATGATTTTGCACCAGTGGTCAAATTAATGCATTTATCATGCATCATCTTTTTTCATTATTTAAAACCAAACCACAGGTATTTTAGAGTTACATATTCTGTATATATAGGGCAGTTTCAACTTGTGGCAAAGGGGGTGACAAAGCCATTAGGCTTCTTCACACAGAGCTGCTGTTGAGCTTCAGCCCTAGTAGGTCAGTGGGACTCCTTGTGCCATTTGTTGAACTATTTTAGCAGAATGGGCTGTTATCTAGTGCCTGTGCGTTGGAGTGGCACTGGATGCAAGAAAAATGCTAGCTCTTCATGTGAGGAGCTGCAGTGCATTAAATCCAAGGGGCGCACAACGATATCACAATCATAATGGTATAGGCTGATATTTGCTTAAAAACATTTGTATCGGACTGATGTTTAGATGTTTTAATTTGATATTTCATAAGTTACACTTTAGTGGCGCGCCCAGGTATATGGACACCCGGCAAAAATATTTCAACCCATTTAAAAATGTTTAGCGTTTTTTTTACTACGTTTCAAAAAATGCCTTTTGACTCCAACTTGGCTGCTACACAAACACATCTTGAGTGAGCGAGAGTGAGGGAAAGGAGAACAGGACAGAGGACTTTCTTTCATGAAAAAAACAAGGTAAAAGAAAGGGCCAGGTCAGAGATTCTTCTTCCCTGCTAACTGCTGGACTTTATTTACTCTATTAATTTGGTTGTCGTAAGTATCTCAGAAGCACAAGTTAACAGTTAGCTGCTTAGATATTTTATTTAATACCGCATTAACTTTCTCTTGGAAAGAATGTCTACTTTTCTGTGCATCTTACTGTCACTGGGCTAGCTTATGATGTATATGATACAAATATAGCCATTTTATTTGTTATCCAAAATGAATTTTGCCTTACAATACCCTACATGTACCTCTCTGCCAAATATATAGATTTTAACCCAAAATCCTAAATTAAATTATATAACATGGTAAAACATAGCGTAACATAAGTGTTAGCATTTTGTTTAATAGCATTCTGTGAAGGAGCTTTTAGAGGCATTATCTTCAGATGTCTGGTTCCGGTCACCACCACTGTGAACAATTTTGATTCAGTAAGTTTTTTCTAGAATAGAGCACTTTACATCAGACTATTTGGAATGACTTTCTACATCTTAACAACTAAATTATACAAAAACTAAAAAAAAATGAAATTCTCCTTTAACTTGAAGCACAGTCAGAAGAAATGGCTCTATATTCGGGAAGTGTGGTTTTGTCAGTTTCAGCAGATGATAGTCAAATAAAATATGTTATTCGAGTCTAGCTCACATCTTCATTTTCAGTGGTTAACACTGACCACTTTTGCCAGCGATCACGGTTTTGTCCACTGTGATAGTTAAAGTCAGACTATATAATCACAGTTACAACCACACCAAGTTTCTCCTGTCAGTCATAAAACACTTCAGTTCACTGCCAGAGTGCATAAAAACCTCTGTGGATTTCACGCTTCTAAATAAGACTCTCTGATATGCTGTAGTGCAACAGACAGGAGCCAAAAGCCTCAGAAACGGATCTTAATCATCATCCTTTAGTGCGCTCAGTATTTAATCGTATTTTAATAAAGCTAAAGCCAAGTATTTGTTTTTAAGGACAACCTGAGAAAGAGATTAAAAGGGGATGTGTTGGCAGCTTGTCTGCACATCCTTTCCCTACCGTTGGGCTATCATTTCCCATATGTGGCTCTTTGAGAAAGTAAGAAAAATCAAAAGTGCAGAAAAAAGTACCACATTTGTAAATTAATTACTTAGTGTTTATGTCTGTAAATAACATGCACTACATGGTCAAAAGTATGTAGACACCCCTTTGAATTATTAAGTTCAGGTGTTTCAGTTACACCCATTACTGGCTGGTGTGTAAAGTCAAGCACATAGCTATTAATTAATGCCCATGGTTTTGGAATGGGATGTCCTCTTACTTTTGACCATATAGTGTTCCTATAAGGTCTTAAAAATGACTTCCTATTCCTTTCTGGTTGCACCTCACCACCAAAGTATATTTCACATGTTTGGAAAACTCTGAATGATACTGAGTTCCTGTGCTAAAATATGCATTTTACTGCATTTGTAACTGTATATAAACAAAAGTTATATATCTCTGTATTGCTAACCCAGGTATATATGTACTACCAATTTCTACATTTTATAAATATGTGTGGCATAAGTATCGACAAATATGAGAAATATCGGATATCAGTATTGTCCCACAATTCCCATACGAGTACAACCCTATTAAATCCATAAAAATCAACATAATGTAAAAGACCTCAAAATAACTAACATTAAAATATAATTAAGCACAATAATACTGCTTCTAATGCTGCTTTCATTGTGTGGCACCACGCCAGTGTGACATTCATCCCAGGGAGCACAGGACAACTCACTGCTGCGTGTGTAATTGAAGCAAACCCTGGACTGGAGTTACGCATAATGGATCGGAGCACAGAACGTTCACGTAGGAAATGGAAAGTAAAAACAAACAGTACCTTGTATTTATCAATTTTATGGCTATTATTGTCTATTATCATGGTCTCAGTCCTAATCATCAAAATATGCAGCAATAATGTTCACAACCTATCGTGCAGCTCTAGTTAAAACGCTAACTGGTCACACTAGATCAAATAATCCAAGGGTTTTTTTTTTCCCAAAACCTTTGCCAGCTGGATGAGGAGTTTTTTAGATTTCTAAATTCTGGGTTGGAGCTGACTTCTGTAAGATGGTAGACCTTCAGGAATGGGGGTTAGCGAACACATGTTTATAGGGTTTACATTTGTTTGCTTTGCTGCACAGGAGAGCTAACGTGACTAAATTCTCTGACTGATTTCCTACCACTTCACTGGGCACAAGCACACTTTTCAAGTATTTGTTTAGAGCAGATCAAATCACTGAACTTGTCTGTTTTTTCTAGGGAGTGTTCCAAAGTGGACTGAAGCGAGAATTGTAATTTACCTTCCATTTTCTCCGGGCTGCAAATTTCTTGAATTTTTCCATGTTCACTGCCGACTCCTTGCGACTAAGTGCTTGCTGAGTGTCTTTTGGCTGAAATACAAAAAATGACAAATATTTAATAAACTCATATTCTTGCTGTCATTAACAGGTTAAATCCATGTGGAGGGAGGATGGACAAACCTTGATCCAGGGGTGATGCAGACTGTCCTGGATTGTCATTCTTCTTCTGTGGAAAAAAAGGGAAAACTAGTCAGAATAACCCCAGGGATAAAATGAGTCCTATTTTAGGGACTGGAGATCCTAGAGACTGACTGCAGAGCTTGGTTAACACTGAATTTAACTAAGCTTTCAGAAATATTAGAATATTCAACCTAGGTTTGTTAGATTCAAGCATTAGCAAAAAAAAAATATATGATTTACACAAGTATCTCCTTAAGTCAAATGTAGTCGATCAGCCAAGACTTGTTTGTTATCTAAACTTTACATCTTTACTTTTGGACGGGAGCTATGAGGGTAATGTAGCTCACAAATAATGGAAGCTGATATTTCTCATACTACCACTTTGCACATACTACCATACCACATCTGGCTGAAGCTGCATCAAGCTGTTAAGTCATCTCAAACAGACTTGCTCATGTGGTTTCTGACACTGAATGCTATCTATAAAAATGAACAAAATTTTTTTCCTGTAGTTACAACGGTAGCAGCAGCCATGAAGCCTGAATTTTGTTAATCTTTTTATCCATTGCCAAAATATTTCTTTAAGCTTGTGTTCATACTTGTATATCAGTTTCGTTGGTCCAGACCAGAGCAGAAAATGACGCATTGCTGCATTTTAATGCTGGTCTGTTTAGCGTTTAGACTGAACATATTTAACATCGAACTAAAAGATCTAAGTCATACGAGTAAAAAGTCACAACTGGGCAGATTTAATGACACATAACGTGTAGCCATGATCTTGCATGATGGGAAGCAAGGTGAAATCCCTGTAACAGCTTTGTGTGGTTTACTCCTTTTACAAAAACTGAATAATCTGATGTGCCAATACATAATATTATTGATGTGCATAGTGAAATGTGTACCATGTGTATGAGTATTTTATAATGGCTTTGAACATGCCTCAGCCTTGTTCACTGAAATGATAAAACACACGCACAACAAACACATACATGTGTCAAAACAGCATCTGAAAGTGCAGAGAAGAGATGATGGTTGATCCCATTTTTAGTCTGTATTGTGTTTATACTTCAAATGAACTATACCAGAGTTCATTTGGAAGTGAACTGAGACTGAGCTGCTCAGGGGGTCTATTATCTGGTTCACACCAGAATTTGCGAGGCAGTGTTCTCACTTTCTTTAACAAACCACATTAACATAGCAATCGCAATCCTGAACCCACTTCAAATTTAGAATTAAACTCTAGGGGAAGGGTCAAGCAGGGTTAAGCTCCCCAGTTTTAGAACAGTGTTTTTAAGTCTATGTCTTAGAGTATCTCAGGTCTGCATCTAATTTTGCAGCCAATTATCAAGCCCTTCATATAGCAAGGGGTTTTAGAGCTGGGAAAACACTATAACGTACAATGTAGGACCACATAAGAATCAGAATTGAGAAACACTGCATTGGAGTATTTCACTCCTTGAGACCTTAATTGGGATAATGCAAAATGCAAATGGACACAATACAGTGACAAAAATCCACATTCCACAACAATGCTCAAACTGTCTTCATAATCGAGCACACAATACTGCTCCAACAATAGTCACACATGAACATGAATGGCTCCCCAGGTGCTTCAGTTAAACCCATGCTGCTGTGGTTTTTGCCATGCTATTGTGTAGTATCTAGATCAGACAGTGATTTCTATGGAACAAGTTTTGGTTCTCACTCAAAACAAAGCTGGGTCTAAATATGGTCAACCCACAGTGTGAAGCAGGACCAAATGGGAGAAGTTCACTAGCACTGCAATTGATGTATCGCTGTCCACAAACTGCAACGCAGTGAACGAATAGAAAGGCAAAACAGGAAATACTACTGTCCAAGATTTGGGGAGTATGCAGCTGATTCCTGTCTATAAAGTGTCAGTTCCTCTTTCCAGAGTCAGGTTTCTGGCGAAGTTCTTACGCAAAGCATGCGACAGATGTAGAACTGTTTGTCCTGACTACAGACAATACATCACGCATCACATTGGCTACATATCAAGCCTTACTAGACTCAGTTAGCCCTCTTATTATTAATAATTATATTATGTATAATATTCAGAACAAAGCAAATATTTTTTGTTTTTTCTAAACTAATATATTAAGTTACAAATCATGTTAAGAGTAAGTCCCAAATTCTGATAAACAATTCTGATATTAAAATGAACTCCAAGGTTTCTCAATGCATATCTCACAGCTCAATGATTCACTCGTAGATTCCATATTTTCAATCAATACCACATTTGTTTGTGTACACAAAAGAGAAGATATTTCTTTTATAAATATGGCAGAAAAAAGTCTTTTACATTCTAGCAACGTTTTCCTAATTTCTATGCATCAAAACAAAAATGCCATAAAGTGTCGATACAGAATGTAAATGTACTTTATGACATAAGGTGGCCCCCAAAAGTAATGGTAAACGTTGATGACGTGGTGAGGTTACTTCTTAAAACGTTTAGCATAATGATATTTGTTCCAGGCCAAAACACTATTAGTCTATCTGTGTGGAGAAAGCCTGGAGAAGAATTTCAACCAGACTGCACTAATTGTACTGTAAAGCACAGAGATGGATATAACAAAGCCTGGGGTCATTTTTCTTACAGTGATGTCGGTGAGCTTGTGTTCACTGATGGAAACATGACCTTTTGCTGGAAAGCCTGCACACCTGAAGAAGTCTGAAACTTACAGTCTTGAAAATGTCTGTTTGAAATAAAAGCCTCCTGGTTTGACATCTTTATTTGGTAACCCAATGAACTTAATACATTTTTAAGCATGAAACAATTTTCCATATACTTTCTGGGGGCACTATGTAGTAAATCACATAGTTATGAAATTTCATAATTATGAAATTTGATTTACATACCACAGCATAACAAATCAAATAGTACAGACACCACAATAACTCTACAGATATAAAAGTTAAACCATGTTGACGGCTCTGATTCTTACTTTGGGTCTTTAATGAGCAGCCGTGCGATGAAGTCTTTGGCCAGAGCGCTGGTGTTGCTGAAGTATTCGTCATCGAATTCATAGTCCACCGCTGATACGTTGGCCAGCGTCTCCTGCTTGTTCTCACCCAGAAATGGAGAGGCACCACTCAGCCTACACGATGAAAGATGAGGAAAAAAGTCGGGAAGTCATGATTTGTTTAGGATTTCCAAAAATGCATCTCAGTAGTCTTTTTTGCATCTTATTTTGGATTTTTACTTCTTCCGTGGGTAGATAAGGCTATCAACAGCAGCAAGAGTGAACAAAGCACTGATGCAGTTACTCAAAGCACAAAGCTGCTTTGTGTTAATTAGTGTTAAGTCAAGGGACTGCCAAAAAAGCAAGGCGTTAATGCTTTAAGTCTGAGAAAACGCACATTGTTTACTACAGACTTCAGAAAGTATATTATGAGAGTGTTTACAGTCGTGGTAAAATATAAGCAGGGAATTAGGAGACGGGAATGAGAATTAACGGATTTTAACTGACCTTCATTAAGACGGCTGCAGGCTATAGATTTAAGGGAACAAACTGAAGGTGTCAATTTAACTGCATTGGTTTTGGAATGTTCTAAATGATTACAGTCAGGTATAATAAGAACCCTGTGCTTATGTTATGGCCAAAAAATTCTTGGGCTACTTTAAACAAAATATGAATGCTGTTTCGTTTTTATTTGGCTGTACTCTGCGAGTAAATCCAGTCATATTTGTGTATTTTGTGTACCTAAAAATTATTTAAATAAATATTCTAATCAAATTGTGGTGAAATCTAACAATTCACTGAATCGTTTTCTCAAAAATTTTAATTGAACCAAATCACTTTGAGGTCACCCCTACTGTGGGCAGTTGACTACAATGAACCTTTTTGCATGATGGGCCTTGGAAAGATTCTTGCTTCTCTTAATCCCTTCTGCTCACTGCTATGACTAATTAAAGGCCTGCAATGGGCAAATATTGGAAGAGCTGTGGGTCATGCGCATGCCATTTGGAGGCCTTGTGGTAAAAACATGAAAATTCATTAACACTGCAGCTGTGCTTCATTCACACACCCAATTAACGGGATTCCCAGCGGGTGAACCTTGATCTGGCTCTGAAAATATGGTGGGTAAACGGTGAACTGGGGGAAAAAAAAGCAGGAAAGAAAAAGGGCTATACAAGGCAAAGGCGTGGAATCAATGCGAGATGGGACATGATAACAACCTGATGTGTGGCACTATTTTTACCGTGTCAAGAATGACAGCAGCGTGGGAGGAAGAAGGGCTGAGAGAGAGAGAGAGAGGGGGGGGGGAAGAGAGTGAGAGAGAGAGAGAAAGAGAGAACGAGAGAGAGAGAGAGAGAGAGAGAGAGAGAGAGAGAGAGAGAGAGGGAGAGGGAGAGGGGAGAGACAGACACAGACAGAAGGAAAATAAAGACCCAGTGCAAAAGCACAAAGTGAGACCAAAAAAAAGAGAAATGTAGAGACAAACAGAGGTTGACATGACAATAAAACACAACAAAGGTGGATTGTGTGACAAGAAGAAAAGATGTCGATGTAAGAGCAGAAGGAAAAAAAGAGAGGCGCAGTAGGGATCATTTGGACTCCTCCACACCCTTTAACAGGAGTTACAAAAGGAAGGTATTGCATAGGAATGCATGATATGGTCAAAATACTACATTTCCATTGTGCTGCCACATACTGCCCTGCAACGGATTGGTGACCTGCCCAAGGTGTTTCCTGCCCACTGCCCAATGAGCACTGAGATATGCTCCAGCTCTCCCCAGGAGAATAAGTGGCTTAGATGATGAGTGAGCGAATAAATGCTACTTATTGTGATTATGATATACCTTATACAATACACGAAAACCATATGCTTAATGTAACATGGTTAACTTCAAAATCTCAGGCTTATTAAACCCTAAGGCGCATTGTAATAAAGCGTTGGACTTGCCGACAGATCCTGGCCACTGAAGGGGTTCTAGACTGACCTACATTGTTTTGACAAAATGATATACGTTTGTTGGATCATGTGAATGTCTTGATTCATCACAGAATCCAAAGAATATCTGAGACTGGTCAGGACACATTGACTGACCAGAAGCCCAATTGCATGTTGTATTATGATGGCTGATGCTGTGATAACGATTAAAGCTAACACTTTACTGTAAAGCAGTATGCATTAATAAAGTCACATGACAAAAGTGAGCACTATCTCCGGCCCTTAGGTAATACAAGTTTCATTTTACTGTGCATAAAGTTTAAGTTATATGTCACATCAGCATGATGCCACTGTAATACACAAACTACTAAGTCAGTTGTTATTACATGCCATGCTGTTCACCCAATAATGTATCATCACACCATCTAATGTCAGAAAAAAAACAATGTCACTTGACAAAGGTGTTATATAACTTCACATCAAAGAAGCCTTTATGACAGACTGTGCCTATTGAAAAAAGCCATTATAAATGTTTAAGTAGCTTTAAGTCAGTTGTCATAATGAGCTGTTGTCATAATGAGTCATATGCAAAAAAAACAGCCCAGGTCAAATGAAATGTTTTACGGAAGAAACTTAAATATGGCATTTTTTTGCCTATTGTAGTGCATAATTTCTATTTATTTGCTGAGTTTAAGATAATGGAAAAAATAACATGTAGAACATAAAACATGTCATAACATTTACAAAGGCCACTTTTTATGTTTTTATTTTTTTCCAATATGTTAAATTCAGTAAATAAACAATAATTGTGCATTAAAATGTGCAGAAGTTTGTTCTCTGTAGAGGATGTGTTAACTTTTTTTTTTCACATAGAAAATCAACAATACATGTCCTTTCACAGGTCAACTTTTGCACATGACCGTATGTATGGTCATACAGCCCAACACAGCCCTGCAGTAAAGTGTTACCCGACTAACAAACGAGCTGCTATGCAGCCATAGTGTTGGGCGTTAACTACAGATATGTATCAATGCCTTACTACTGCTGGAAGTGAAACAAGGTTTGGTTCCCACCATAGCAGCTTCCCATGATGCTTTATCTCCAGCTGCAGTCCGCCTCTACTGTTTTTATTACCTCATCACACACACACATGTATGCCACAGAGACAAACTTTCCACTGACATCAGTGGAGTAGCACAGCCAAATTTACCATTAGACACAAAGGTCCTGGGGACAAATTTAACCCACACAGTTGCATTTACAGCCACAGTAATAATGGCCTAATTTTATATTAATTACTTCTCACTCATATCTCATAAAAGGCCCATACACTACATTTACTCTCCCTGCGCTATTTTGTCACCTGAGGAGAAGTTATAATCTTTATGTGGTTTCATGAATCAAAAAGAGTAATTTATATTTACATGGCTGTTTTCCAAACTGTCTTTATCTTAGAATTAAACAAGCTGTTTTTGTTACTGTGTCTTTGAGACTGATATACATATGAATGACCTCTGTTCGGACTGGCTGCCCTGTACTGAGCCTCATTCAAAAAGCAGTCCTGGCTTAACCATGCCTTATAACAGTGGCATGAGAGGGCTACAGGCTGAAAAGGCAGGTATATGTAAATGTATTGGTTTTCATGTCATCATTAAAACAATAGCTTTAAAACAGGCTGGATTGCATGGACTGGGGAGTGAATGGCATGTTTCAAATGAATGTTTATACACTACATCAAACTGTTATCTTTAAAAAAAACGTATTAAATTATTATTAAAAATTTATTGTTATTATTAAAAAGTTATTGTTACACATACGTTTTTTTTTTTGTGAAAATAAACTTCTATGTTATGTCATATCCTAACATTGAAAAAATGGGAGGTAAAAAATCTAACAGGCAGAATGTACATCCAATGTAAATGTAACAAATATTTCAATTATACGACTATGTAACCGTAGACTTCTAACCTTGCATTCACAGCAGCAACTTTTTCGCCTGTTGTCATGCAAAACGCTGGACGCTCATTGTCTGTGGGCATTTATGAACTCGAACTGACCGTTGCTTGCCATGGCTTCAATGACGTCAAACAAATGCCATGACAGTATGCCGTAATTTACTGGCTAATGGCTACAGAGCATACAAAAACAACTTGACCACAAATCGGATGCGTTCTCACTAAAAATAAGAGAGAAATGGCTTGTTTATAAACTTAATCCCTGTGTAGCGCATCTGTGCAGTTAGTAAGTAAAGTGTTTTTCGTTGTGATCACTGCCATTTCTAGCACGAACAAATATCTAGGAACCAAACAGAAGCACACTGCTTCACAGTGGTGGAGATAAAGCACATACCACTATGCTGAACCTCCATTGGTAATCGCCACATTGCTTTGTTCTTAATTTGAATAAAATTAAACTTTCATTAAGTTTGTCGTGACGTCAACAGTGCCTAAATAGCATCGCCAATGTTCGTGTTGTCTCCCCTCACCAGAAATGGCCATGTCATTGAAAATGAATGCACTCTGGCCGTTTGTAGCACACACTGTGGCCGGTATGAATGCAGGGTAAGGGTTAATATATGATCCTGCAATTAATTTTATGAAAAAACTTTCTATTATCAAGCATTTCCCTTTCTCTGTAAAAGAACATCAATTACAGCAGTAATACAAAACCAAATGGGCATGCTGCTGCTCTATTAGATGCTTCCGATGAAATGACTACAGCACAAAGTATTACCAAAATCAATTTCCATGCTAAATATAATTCATAATGTCCAAGCAAATAGGCCACCATAATTGTGTATTAGTGTGAGCAATGCTCATGGCATTTGCTTTATAAAATGCAAAGCAATTGTGAAAATGGAAGGCATCTGAAGTCTTGGGGAAAGTGAATAAAGGTAACATAAATGTGAAATATGTGTACATTTTAAATCAGTCGTCATCACTGTAATGAAATACTTACAATATGTAAGTTATCACTCCAACGCTCCTGGAATGAGAAAAATAGAGAGAGAAAGAGAGAAAAGCAATTACCCGAGAGGACAACGAAGAATAAATAATCAGACTTCAGTCCAGTGTGGAGTGTTTTTCTTACCACATGTCTGCTTCCAGACCCAGAGGCTCATAGTTTACTACTTCCGGAGCTGAAAAACAGCAAAGACAGAGACTTTGAACTAAACTGTCTGAAACTGCTTACAAAGAAAAGTCTGGAACAGAGCACTCACTGGAGGGGAGGGCATATTTCCCCCTGTTGTTCACACCGAAATATTTGAACTGTGAAATGAATCATTCGTTAAGAGTGTGGGGAAATCTCAGTTTCAGACGTGTGAATGATAAAAATGGAGGAGCTGAATACAGTGTTTACGGGCTGTGTCTAATCTGAGAGAAGTTTTTCAGTGGTTACATAGTTGAATAAAAAGTGAATATGCTGGTGCTTTGGACAGTGATAACAAAAGCATGTTGTAATTTTACTTTAATTATTTCTCACTCATAGCTCATTGAAACAAGAGGAAATTCTGTAGAGAGTGCAGATTCTAAACACAATCAATACAACATTTGTATTTGTAAGTAGAAAAAAGAGTTAAATGGGGCTGATAATGACCTCTTTGTTATCAAACATCCAGTTGTTTTTTTTTAAATGCAATATCCATGAAATGCTCAGAAAAGCATATTGTGATGTAATTTCTCATGGCAAAGACAAACACTATAATATTGTCCAGCTCTAACAGAAGAGTAGGTCTGTTCTGAATTTGAAGAAAAGTTATTTTAGTGTGTACAGTCTTGTTTTGTAGAATGAAAACCATGTTTTTGCATTGTTTTTAAAAACGGAAAAATAGGTTCCAGTATATAGTATATAATTCATAGCAAAACGAGAATTTAGTAGGAATGTAATGATACGCAAACTTCACGAGACAGTATGTATCGCTGTTTTTCACGATACAATGCATTTTTGATACAGAATAATAAAAGAAATGCTAACATAACGTCAATATTTATTCATTTTTGGTAACTCTCTGTAAGTCTACTTCTCAATATCAAATGAACTTTGCATTGTAAGTTCTTTGCGATCTGATCTTGTGGGTGGTTTTAAAGTGTGGTTCTGACCTTCTAGCTGAAATGAACAAGAGAGGATTTTCCATTGTGGCTCAATCACTCCCAGAAAACTGCGGAATCCACAACCGAACAGAGGTGGACTATACAACTGAACAGAAGTGCAAATCTGTAGATATTAATACCCCTAGGGAATGAGTTGTTGGTTTCCTTCTATTTGATCTATCACTCTTTTGACATCATTACTGTATTCGATAGAGGAACTTCATTTCAACTTGCCATTTCAAACAGCCTGGCTAATCAACCATCCAAGGTATTTTTTACAGCTCTGATGGCTGTGCAGCGGAGATGGTTTATTTTTTGGTTCAAGGTTATCACTCTTATGTATATCGCTGCTGTCGGAGGAAAACCTTGTATCTCCATTTTTGTATCTCCGTTTTTCAGTTTTTGGCATAATTTGAAAATGCCCGTTGCCCTTTACATTGTGTGTATTTTATGAAAAATGGACCAAAAGAAACGTCTCAAAACAACTTGGAAAAATGTCTGGGTCCATTGACTTACATTAAAAGTATGGTTTGTTTTTTCCTTCTCCTGTAAAGTTATCATTTTGGAGATACGCGGTTATCTTCCGACAACACAATATAACGGTTTGTGTTAACAAAGAACTATAGATGAACTACAGAACTATATATAGAACTTCCGCTATCACGTATTTTATACACAATATCTAACTATATTTGATTACAGCAAGTATCGTCTCATGACCCTTGTATTGAAAAAATGAATATTAACACTCATATTGTGACACCTCTAGCCTAAAGCTACACACAGCTGAAAAATGAGCATGGTTTTGGCATAGCATGATGCTACATCAGGCACAGATGCTACTCTTCAGTGGCCTTTGGTTAATCTGGGGGGATAATTGTCTGTCTATTAGCTCTGCTGTCTCATCACACCCTGCGGCCGTACTGGCTGCCATTCAAATAGGACTGGGTGAGATGCCAGAGAAACAGAAAAGGGGTGGGGGGGTTTGAGCTTATAAACTAAACACAACTGAGTCATGGGTAGAAGAACAACCTTGTGTGGTTTGGGAGAGTCTGTTTTCAGTATGAGGCAAGATTTGACTCAACGGCCAAAAAAGCATGACTAGCAAATCCTTATTTGAACCACAGTGGATTTCGCAGGACATTCCAGGACACCAATATTTGATCCACGAATCTGAGCAGTCATGCTGTCATGCAACTGGTTCAAGGTTACAAATGAACAGAGTGGAGAGACTGGACAGAACAGGGAATGGTAACTGACCTACAAACTCTGGGGTGCCAAAGATGTTTTTGAAATCGTTGCTAAAATCGATCTTGTGGGCCAGGCCAAAGTCGATGAGCTTAATGCGGGGGTGAGGCACGCTCCGGTTCAGCAGCATGATGTTCTCTGGCTGGAGAGAGCAAGAAAGAGTGTCTGAGACAAGATAGAAACAAATAAGACAAAACACAGAAAGAGAGGAAGAGGGCAATGGATCAAAGGAAAGGATCAGAATGAGAGAACAAGAGGAAGCTGAGAACAAGAACAAGAGGGACAGGGAGAGAGAGCAGAGAGAGCAGAGCAGGAGAGAGAGTATGAGAGAAAGAGAAAACCAGGATATAGGCCATAACACATGGAAATCACATGCAAAGCTACAGAAGTGTTCTCTAGAAAGCAGAGCACTACTCAAGCCTGGCAGGAACGCATCCCAGCCAGGAAATTCCACGGAAACAATACTTCCTTCACTCGGCTTTCTTTATTCACAGCCTAATCCCTTAAAAGCTCTGCTGACTTCAAAATATCAAAACGATATGCTAAGGAATGCTTGCAGAATTGAGGCAGATCTTATTACACAGACAGGAATAATACAAGGGATTACAAGGAAAGTCTATCAGTTACTTGCAAAAAAAATTTTCACTATTCCTCAGATGACTAAATTATTTAATTTGTTCTGGTTGTATTGTGTCAATTAATGTGTTAGCCACTGGCTAGCTCAATTTGTCCACTTTTTTTTATTGGAGTAAGATAACAATCTCTCTGTATTAGTATAGGATGTTAAAACTACGTCACACAACGGGTCACTCCCTTAGGTTTAGTAATCTAACATATGTTAATATCACTCAACAATATTTACACTGCCTGTCCAAAGTCTGGGGACACCTAGCTTCTCAATGTGTACTGAATAAAAAAGCATGTTTTTTTAAGGAACTTAATATGTTAAACAAAAACAAAAAAAATGTATCAATCACCACATATGTTGTAAACCATGTCTACTTACTTCCTACAGTGGTTCCACAATAGTCTCTAGAGTGTGATTTTTTTTAAAGCCTAGGAAACCTCTCTTCTCATCATGTATTTTGAAGGTGCAACTGGATTTTTGAGGGCAGGCTGGTTGGAATGTGGTTTTTCCCCACTAGCTGGCTAATGTGTCAGGAAGCCAGATAACTTGCGTTACTGCAAGGAAGCTAAATATCACGTCTGTGTTTATTAGCCTCTAAATTAATACAGTTCTTTACTGCCATGAGAGGATTCCCAGTGGTTGTATGATGTATTTGCACAATGCATGCTGGATACTGAAGTGAGAGTACACTGGCGGATGAAAACATAAAAATACAAAATCTGAGGCTGAGGGATGCAATGCTGTGTAACAGACTATTACATAACATAACAAATAACATAGTACATATAACAGTTTTAGGTCACAGGAATGCCCCTTTAAGTAGAAAGCTGTTTAAATTTTGCCATCTTTCTCTGCAAAAACTAGAAATCAACTAACGAATGCTGTAGCGTGGAAATAATGCCAAACTCCACACATTTATCCTCTTGTGATTTCAGCACTCAAACCTTCCAGCTGTTTAAAGCACCTCTGGGTTTAAAATAATTGCAATATCTACTTTTAATAACAGTTCAGGAAAGGGAAACTGTCAAATCATTGTTTCAACAAAACCTATTCTTCACTGAAAGGAAGACAATTTGATGATCAGGAAGCTGCTGCCAAATATATAACACTACAAAGAACTCCTAATTTTTTCATGAAAAATTCTGAAGGTAAGATGCCCCAAAACTTTGGCTCCAAGACAGGAAGTATAACCATCTCTTAGCTATCTGGGGGTGTAAACAGAGTCACTGGGTAGAAACCTGCACATACAACAGGTGGATGAAAACATTTGTATTGATTTGCTGTGGCTGCTACAAGCCTTGTCTAATCACCTCAGCGTGGAGTTTGGGTGACGATCAAATATATTATAGCTCAAGCTAGCACTGTACCTTCAGGTCAAAGTGGGCAATCTGTTTGGAGTGCAGGTAGTTGACACCATCCAGGATCTGCTTAAGGAACTCTGTGGCCTCCTCCTCGCTGAGAGACTCCTTCTCGGCCAAGAAGTCAAACAGTTCTCCTCCCGCCACGCTGCAGGGAAAACACAGGGAGGAATTGGCATTGGTATGTGAGAATTAGGGTGGGCAATATGACAAAATATAATATCACAAGACTTAAAACCTTTTTAATAATATATAGTATATACTACAATATTTCATTTTTCTGAGGTTTGCAAACCAGTTGGAATGTCTTAAAAATACAAGCAAATCAGTCCTGCCAAATGTAAACAAAGGTTTGGGGGGAAAAAAAAAAAACTACTCATTCACCTGATCATAGTTTTGAGGAAAAATATTTTATTTGATTATATTAACTAAAAATGCTCCACTAGGGGGCCTGCAGGAGGAGGTTAATCAGATACTTATTACTACGCAGTCTTTTCAGAAGCATAGCACCTCATGAACCTGGTATCACTCCTGTTTAGCAGGCTGAGGATTCTGCACAAAGGAGCATCAGAAGCACTCTAATAGCTTTCTGGTGCCTCACATCACTGACCCTGAGTGTCCTTGTTTATAAAACATACAGTTGATATAAATGATATCCTCAACTGTAAGTTATCACAGTAACATATCATCATATTGCCTATCCCTACTTGAAAAGGTAGAGACTCCAGCTTAGAGCACCTATATCTTAAATAACCTGTAGGAAAAATCTGACAGCATCTCATCTGAAAATGGAGATGGTTCAATACAGCATTTAGGGATCAACAGTGTGAGCTGCAGTTTGACTGCCAAGCCGCATGGAACATGCCCAAGGTGGAAATCTGACAACCGGCTACAGACAGAAGATTCTAAACAGGAATCCAATCTCAGCAGTGCAGGATTGGGCGAAGGTCCACAAGATGAATCACAGCAAGGCAAAGAATACGAATTTTAAACAAGCAAGAGGGCCTTACAATGTGAAATGATATGAATTATCTTGTACTAAACCACAAAGTATGGGTGCACAATACATCGTTTGTGAATCATTTTTATGATAATACTGATCTTCACAATACTGCAGAAGTCTGCATGATGGAAATAAGCATTGTTCAATTAACTGATCATGTTTTATTGAGCGTCATGCATGAAATGAAAAATCCTGGCTAAAACAGACATTTAAGACATACCGGGGGGGCAGTCATGGGCTGGAGGTTAGGGAACTAGCCTTGTGACCAGAAGGTCGCCGGTTCAATCCCCTGAGCTGACAGCACGTGACTGAAATGCCCTTGAGAGAGGCACCTAACCCCCAGCTGCCCCCCGGGCGCTGCGGATAGGGCTGCCCACCGTCCCGGGCCAGTGTGTGTCCACTAGTGTGCATGTGGTGTGTCACTGCATGGATGGGTTAGATTGCAGAGGTGAAATTTCCCTGTTGTAGGACTAAAAAGGGTCTCTTAATCTAAAACAAAGGTTTTTTTATTTGCCATTTTATTTTTACATACTAAACATAAATACTACAAAGGAATAAATCAGCTTTCAAAAGTACAAAACTAAGCTGACAAAACAGTTTAAATAAAATAAACTCACTAAAGTTATTACAGTATGTAGTCTACAGTATATAGCCAACAAATCCAGCATCCGCAAAAACAGTGAATAGTTGGCCATCCAAGGCAACAGCATTTTAAATCTGTTTCTTGTTTTCATTATAATTCAAATTATTTTTTAAGTCAAAATCTAATAATTATTCTAAGTATTAGATTTTGACATTCTGTTGCAGTCCTACTTAATTTTTCTGCCTTGTCCCCTCTTTTGGCTGAAAACAAGTGCCACTTTTGACCATTTTCAGCCAAAATGTTTTGGTGGCTGATATTTCAGAACTCTATTTTTCCTTTAACTGTTGTGAACAGGAACAGGTCTGTAGGTTTGGCAGATAGAAACACTGGCAGGGCTCTAATCATGGCTTCTGGGCGAGGGCTGACAGGATCTTGGCGTGTTTATTTAGAAGGAGGAAGCAGCAGAACAGCTGCGCTGTGGTGACATGATAATTCAGGCTGATAATGGAAAGGTCGAGCCGGTGCAGCCACTGATCGCCCAGTTACAAAAACAATTGTGACCAGATAGGTTTCTGTTCCCACTTACAGTGGGGGGAAAAAAAACAACAGTTTCCCACCCCATTTTAAAAAGTGATAGTTTGCAACTGCTCACTTCACAATAATGAAAAGTACTGTTTTTTTATGGCAGGAAACCAAATGACATGAATATGAAACTTGACCTCCAGTTCCAGAGTTGCTCAGTTATACCATACTGCCAGAAAACATATCTGCTTTAATACATAATGTGTAAATGTTGGTTTAGAAACCAGCTTTAGAACAGCTTTTCTTAACAACAGCAAACTACATGAGAGAGAAGGAACAGCAGCACAGTGTAAGTTATAGGAGGGCAAACCGAACCAGCTTATCGCTGACAATCGCTTCAAGGGTTTTTGAAAAAAGACATTTCTTGGACATAATAATTAAGTTCAAGACTGGTTCATATGAATGCCTTATCTTTATGTGCCAATCGCATAAAAATGTTGCAGTTCAGCATTCCGATAGCCACGTCTTAAACATCTACACATAATTAGCATGCTGTCACGGAGGCTTCACTCTAAGAGACATTAACTCATGCAGAGCTCCAAATTTAAAGTTCCTAAGCTCCTCTGAAGGGGGAAGTATCAAATGGTATGGTACAGCAAAACAGGAAAAGTCTTGTGCCGTCACATACTGTACATGACTGTCTTGGGGTTTCTATCGTGATTGGGAATTTTGCAATAATTCCTGAGACATTTAAACCTCATACCAAAACAAAAAACCCCTAAACCACAAAAAAAACATCACGTAGGAAAGCAAGGTAGTTCCTTACAAATCCGACATCACATACGGAGGAGATTAAGATTAAGCTACTCATAAAGTCCATCGACACTACAAAACAAGTCATTATTGTGAGATTTTCCATCGAGGGTTTTCTAAGACATCTTTCAGCACAGCAACTACATAGCTGAACTGTTCACAACATACTGATCTACAGGAGACTGGGAGACACCAAGCCTGTTGTGTAAACAGACATACGTATGTAATAGCTCTCCAAAGGCCATTTTTATACAGAGTTTACTACGGATTAATTCTTCTTTCTCAGTCAATGGTTTTAGCCATTTAGCCATTCATCTTTGTGTACTAGAATAGTCTACATGGAATAGACATGAATGAGCCTCTTTCTTCTTCTGATGCATTGATAATGGGCTGCTTGCATGTGCTTGCACAAACAGGTCAAACGAGTTTTGCACTTGAGGAACCGGTTACACTACAGCCCACCAACAGCAGCCTTGTGATGTGTTTGCCTTAAGGTTAAAGCATCTGATTCAAGTGTATTAGGGGTGACTTACACCACTATGCTTACAGCTGCAGAAGTAGAACAGTTTCATTTCTATTTTCATCAGTCCTTCTTTGAAAATCTTATCTTGATACACCTTCATTTACTGCCCCTCAGAAAAGCTACATAGTGGTGGGAATTAATATTGTTTTTTGGCAACCTGACTGCCCTGAATGTTTTAATCATTGAAAAACAACATTTAGAGATCTGAAACATCTGAAATTGGCTCATATTTTTATATAATCAAATAAATCAGTTTTCCTTGTAAGTTGGTTATCAGATTAACTAGGACACTGTTGGATTTTTGTGTGTGTAATGTTCTGACTGTTTTGAGCTACTATTGAGCAATGAGGGGTAAAAAGGGTGGGGCAAGAACCTCTGGCACAAAAACTATTCCACAAAGATGGCTGTGCAGAGATAAAAATGACAGCACAACTGTAGCCTTCTTCATATAAAAAAATGCGCACTGCAATAAAAAAACAGCAATTTAAACACAATAACCACATTTATAATACGTTGACTTGCTTTTTCAACTATGAAGATACTTCCGGTTTTGTAAATCATACACATTTCCTTCAAAACATATTCCATCAACATTATTAAGAAAAGCATGCACAGTTTAATTGAGGGACCTCCTCCAGAACAGTTGGAAACTGTACTTTTTGGCTACTGTGAAAAGGGCTACATTTTTAACACTGATTATGAAATATTAAGCAGATCAATGGTGACAGAACAAGTCAAGTTAAATCAAATGGCCTTTGAATCTCCAAACCATTAACTTTACAGGAGAAGCAAAATATTCTTAACTTTCAATGCTAATTATTCTAACAACACTTGATTTTAAGACATTTTAGACCATGTCTATTGCTCCGTTACTCATGAAATTTTGACAGTGTAAACAGCAACTGGTAACAAATGAAGTTTAATTAATGTTTTCCTCAGTGATAATATACAGATTTCAAATTACCAATCCTGTCTCAATTTGACTTCAAATGTCTATCAAATGCACTCTTAAATACCCCTTCAAACTAAGTATGCATGATAGGAATTAAGTGCTAGAACTGCAATTATATTGTGAAATGCATTGCAATACATTAAAAATGAACTGGTTATCAAATAACGTGATGGTTCAAGATTAGCCTGCACTATTTGGACCAAAATAGTTCCGTTTTGTTAGATAACATGATGAATATCTTGATTCATCAAAACCCCCATAGATGCACTCATCTGGAACTGGAATTGTGCACAGCATATGATAAGTAATGCGTGTGTCTTAGAGATAAAACGTTATGAAAATTTAATATCATGATTATAATGACCAAAATTACATGAAAATGTTCAAAACATACTGACAAATAACCTCAAATCATTTTCTTCACTGATATCAAGTTTTTATTGAAAGCCTCAAATACGTTAGTAGCACTATGCACTTCAAACTGTTACAAACTTTGGTTGATACTCAAAATGCGTTAATAGGCCAGTTTTAATGATAATTAAAATGAATCGTTTCATCAATTGTGTGGTTAAATGGCTTATTTGCATATTTAAGACTTCCATGATATCAGTTTTGGCCATTATTGCTATAACAATTAACAAACTATATATTATGCAGCCCTTCAAAAAAAAAAATAAATAAAAAAATAAACCCAGCAAAGAACCGGAGATACTCACAGCTCCAGGATGAGAATGACCTCGTTCTTGTTCTCAAACACATCGTGCAGAGTGATGACGTTGGGGTGTTGGATCTCCTTCAGGATGCTCACTTCCCTCTCTATGTCCTCCTTGGTGACCCCACGACGGCTGGACTTGCTTCGCCGTTTCTTGATGAACTTGGCTGCATATTCGAGGCCTGTGCTCTTCTTACGGCACTTCCTCACCACAGCAAACTGACCACTGGAAAAAAAAACAAGAATACAGTCATGCTAAAAAAAATGGCAATGATCACCACAGGGCTTCCTATACGTAAAAAAAGACAAACAAAATGAGTATACCTATACCTATACCTATATATATAATATATATATATATATATATATATATTACAAACTATTATAATACAAACATTAAAATCTGTGCATGAGCCAATCAGGATTAGCGTGTCAACTCCTACATAGATTACCAAGGGCTGTAACAGGGGTTTAAAATTTTACCAATACCACAATGCTTATGCATGACTATAATGAATAACATTCAGACAGGGCTGAGATTACAGTGATGACTGCAGAGACTCTCCTATCTAAAAAGGGTTCTAAAACTCTCAACGTCCGGTTTTGCATCTTTATGCCATGCTCTCGTAGCGAAGCACTGCATGTTCCTATTCTAACGTTCATATTTCAGCTCTTTTGAGTCACGACACAGGTCCTGAACAACATCCAAGACGCAGCAGCGTTGCCAACAACTCAAGCTGAGGGAACATCATGTAAAAAACAGCCATGCTGCTAATCCCAGTCACACTAGACCAAAAGGGTACTGATGGCTTACTTCTCCATTTGAAGGTCGGGCTCCAACATTTGACCCTGTAACCTGATCTAGGGTCAGTAGATAATATAAAAAGACTGCAAATCAGAGTTTTTTTGGGTATTATGTTTACATTCTCTATACTGACAATGACTCCTTTTCAGCATCAGTCAACCGAGTGCAAAAAAAAGGACACAGAGTAGTAGTGCTTAGATCTTACATTTTTTGCTAGTTTCCTGCTTATTACTGCTAGCCATCTGTACATCATCACCATCAGCACACAGTCTGGAGAAGATTTCATTGCCACAGAGAACCAGAAACAAAAACCTGCTTGTTTTGGACAAAAACATGCATGCTAACTTTGTTCTCAGCATGGTCTGGCAGTTCTGCCTATATATTTAATCAACAGCCTATAAAGTGCTTCTTGTTAACCTCTAATACAGCCTCTCAAGTGACTGTACAGTGCCCTGCAGAAACACTGGCACCCTGGGTAAACATGAGCATAACAGGCTATAAAAAGATTCCTTATTTCCTTTCCTTTTGATCTTTCATTCAAAATATTAACAAAAATATAAACTTTTTTGAAGTACAATAATTGGTATAACCTAAATCTTATCAGCAAATAAATATTTTACTTTGTGCAGCTTCCCCTTGTGAACATCGCAGCTCTGAGTATTTTCCTATATTGCTTAATGAGACTGGAGAACACATAGCAAAGGATCCGAGACCGTTTCTCCATACAGAACCTATCCAGATCCTTCAGACTCTGAGGCCCACACTGTGGACTCTCCTCCATCCAGTCCTTAATTCTGTGGTCAGTGAACCTCTTTTGTGTTGATTTTGAGGTGTGCTCTGGATCACTGTACTGCTGGAAGATCCAAACTATGGCCCAGTTTAAGCCTCCAAGGCAGTCTGCTGAGGCAGTCAGGTTTTGAGTTTATTTCTGCTGGTACTTGATGGAGTCTGTGACACCATGTACCTGAATAAATTGCCCTTTGGTCCAACACCATACTTCATAGTGGGGATGGTGTACTTTTCTGCATGGCTATCTTTGTTTCCACGCCAAACTCACCTCTGGTGTTTGTTGCCAAAAACTCTATTTTCGCCTCATCTTACCATAGAACACAGTCCGACTGAAAGTTCCAGTAACATCTGGCAAACTATAGGAGCTTGAGCTTGTTGGTCGTTAACAGCAGAGGCTTTCTTCTGGCAACCCCCCAAACGACTTGTGGTTATATAGGTGGTATTTGATTGTGGTTTGGGAGACATTGTGACCCTAAGACCTAACTAATGTCTGCAATTCCCCATCTGTGATCCTTGAAGATTCTTTGTCTACTCAAACCATCCTCCTCACTGTGTATATGGTCAGTCTAAACATGCATCCTCTTCCCAGGAGATTCTTAACATCTCCAGTTGTTTGAAGCTCCTTAGTTATTGCCCTGATAGTTGAAATTGGCATTTTCAACTGTTTAGCTATTTTCTTGTAGCCATTTCCTGATTTGTGCAGCACAACAACCTACATCACTGCTGTTTTCTCTGGTCTTGCTCATAAGGTGATGACTGAGAGAATTTGGCCTGTGTTTCATCTTATATATATATTCCCCAGTGAATCAGGAAGTCATTGCTCTTCACTGCTCTTTCAGGCGTGAACGCAACCAAAGTAGTCATATTACTGGTGCATGAAGCAAATTCCCTCACAGACTTTGCAAATTAAACTCAATGCAAAATCTCACAGGCAATACTGATTTGCTCTGAAAGTCTATGACATGAAACAGTTCACCTCAGCAATTTTTTGGATATTTAAATCACCCAACTTGGTGACCATGGAATCTATCAGAGATTCCCGATAATACTGTAAAGCAGATCAAGCCTACTGTAAATATGTATCCCAAAACAAAACTATCCAGCCATTTCTGTGGAAAAACCTGGCTGTGATCTGTTGGTTTCTTTGGTTCCGCTTTATGCCAGGGATTGTTTATATAGTGTTTAGTTCTGAAATATTAAATATCAGGTCACTTTGTTGTTTCTGACTGTAGTAGCAACAGCAAATAAATGTAATTGCTTATACAACTGGTTAATCGAATGAGGATGGGTTCCGCTTTTGAGCATAGATTGCTCTCAGTATTTCTTGGTTAGAGACAGTGACAAGTCTATACTTAGTCAACACACTGACTACTCGATGTTGAAACAATTTCACAATATAGTACTGTAATATCTTAGGCTAAGATAAAGGTAGACATTTAAACTAAATAATGCATAGTGCAGTTTTTCCCCAACACAGTAAAGCATCACTGAACAGCTGCAGCAAGGTCACCAAATAAAGTCGGTCTGCGGAAGTAACAATTGCCATTGAAAAAGAGACATCTCTGAACAATGTCGGGAAGGAAGACTGTCCTTGCAGCAGAGCTTTCTCATGTTAATGACCTCCATTCACTTCAAGCCTAACCTATTGTCGTCCAGGCACCAAGCAGGCCCCACAGCAGATAGAGACAGCACATTTGAATTTTATCTCAGCCTTGGGAGGGTCTGACGAAGAAGCCAAGCCTGCACATCAACCGTTTCTGGAAGAGGCCCACGAGATATGGTAAAGTAGAAACCCAGACTGAAGCCTGGACTCATATTCCCAAATAGAAATGCTTAGGTCCAAAGAGAGCTCATAGGGACGGCTATGCACGGTTATAACCATGAAGTTCGACAATGACATATGGCTCACATCCAACCATTATTCTTTTTGAGATTGCGTCATCATCAAATTATGCACCTAAGACCTAGCTGCATTCAGGTTGCAGAGTTATTGCTTAGCAATCACACTGATGGGTATTAAAAAACCCTACATCCCCTGTGACCCCCCCAGCATGGCTTTTGGCAACAGAGCACAGGCGAATGCTTTTGTCGGTGACACCCCTAAATGAGAGGATCATGGGTTGTCAGCCGTGGCAGTTTCCATGGTGGTGTTGAGGCTGGTGGGGCAGGGTTGGGGGTGTGGAACTGAGGAAGGGGGGGTTGCTTTCTCAATTCACTCCACCTTGCTCATCACTGACAACCCCTGCGGAGCGTGGCAGTCCACCGTGAATTGTGAACAGCATCGCCAACAGCCCAGTAAACACCAGACAAAGAACACAACGTTGTCTTCCCCTCAAGCGAGTCAGCCCGTTAGGGAAGCTGCACCCTTTCAAGAGCTGTCCACGTCTGCTCCGAATGGAAGATGGGGCAAATGTGCGTATCAGGATGTCAATGTAGCAAGGCTCTTGTGCTCCTATCTGGAGCACCATGGTGATGAAGTGGCTCGTTAATCACAGCGGATATTCAATGACTTGGCTAGGGGAAGTGCTCTTCAGTCTTGGCACTGCGGTAGTTTTGTACAAGCTACAAGCACATTATTGTCAAGCTGAGCCTGAGATGGCACCCAGCCAGAGTCAATGGGTCTCCTAGTGTTAGACTTGTCTTCCTCACTGCTGGTCTACATTTCTGTAAAATTATTTTACAACTATGCCTCCATTTGGTTAGACCTTGGGATCTCGGCATGCTGAAACAGGATTCCTCTGCAGTATACAGATCTCAGTCAGCAGGTGCAACCTTGACTTATAATGGAATAAAAATGCAGACCGGTATGAGCTTAGTTAGACTTCTTTGTAGAGCATTATATCATATCATCTTTCTAAGCCTTTTCATGAGGATTGCATTTAATAATCTCGCTATTCAGCCAGTGAGAGGCAGGGCATTCCACCAGGTTCTGTAAATGTACTGCAGCAACCCCAACAAGCAGGAACTATTTCCTTGTCTTGGTCATCTAACCCATAGCACACTTTGTGGATCTAGAAACTATACTGTCACTAATATTAACTTTTACATTCTTTAACAAAAAAACACTGTGAAAACCCAACTTCTAAATGATGGCCCTTTCGAAAGTTGTTAAACTCAACATTACGAAACACTTAAGTGTTGCCTAATGATGTAATGCAGCATGTAAAAGCGTTGAGCAATACTGAAGCGAACACAGAGCCTAGACGATAATAACAGCAGCCGCTCACAGATGCTAACAGGCATGACTTGCTGGCGGTGGCTCAAATTAGAGCGTTTCCCTGCAGAGGCGGCCCTGCCCAGCTCGCTGAACTTAAGGGCCTTTGCTGACTAACTGAAGTGACAGAATTATGGTTGATAACATCCTCCTGCTTCACTAACAAGAGAGGGCTTTTCACCCTCCAACACAGAGTGCTAGCTGCCGGATATTCTTCAGACACACAGGAACAGAAAATCCCTCTCACTAATGATACCCGTGGGATCCTCGGAAGAAACACATGCTCCGACTCGTAGTTACTCCTGAATAAACTGGACCAGGCAAAATATCCAACCAACATTAATGATTTAATTAGGATCTTCAAACAAAGGATTCAGATTTTAGGCTCCTCTTGTAAAGAAAGGGAGAGTACCAAGCA